CTTAATAAACCATTATCTTTATATTTAGCTAGCCATTTTGTATCTTGTGTTACAATTTTATCTTGTCCAAATGCGGCATTAACAAATCCATTAACAAATGCTGATGCTAAATTTTGTTTACTTGAATCAGGTTGATTATAAGTTGATCGATTTGTATTATCTAAATATGTTTTATAGATATCTTCGGGTAATTTAGCTTCCATTATATCAAGTTCACGAGCTAATGCCAAAAAATTTGATGTTAAATGTGAATTAGACATTATATTTGTTAATTCATCGGGATCTTCACCATCGACTTCTGCAACATTCCAAATAATTTGTTGTCGTCCTAACATAAATGCAAGTTGTTTTTTAACTAAACTAAAAGTAGAAAAACAAAGAAAATATTAAAAACACAAAACTTTACATTGAGTCTTCGACAAAAGTAGCTATTCTCTTGCGAAATGCTACTACTATTTATGATATTGAGCTGATATTTTTGGTACATGCGTGCGACAATAAACCCTGATTACAAACATTAACCTATCATTTCGAAAATGAAACCGAGACCGATCGGTTCGGTATCTATCGTCAAAACAGTCATTATAGAGAAAAAGGTTGATCATCAAAGTAGAAAAAAAATAATACACCTAGAATAATATGTATTTGACCAAGATCGAATACGTTTATTTAACAACAATTAATCTCAGAAATAAGTCGGGAAATTTTCATGACTAAATTACTTGTATCTATAATAAAATCTTATGTTTTTTTGGATTAAAATATGAAAAGAGATAATGAAAGGAGTGGCAACATCTGATGCAATATTCTATTGAACTGTTGTTTTTTTTAATGAATAATTTCATATTAAAGATTTTTCAAAGAACTGTTCAAATTTCTTAGATTCATGGAATATATTAGTCATCTACGTGAGTTCACTGTAAAATAAGGTTTCAGTATAGAAACCGACCAGGCCGATTCGATCTCTGCGCCCTCTATCGATTCGTGTGTATAATAGTTATGATTCAGACATAATTTTTCTCTTGTGATCATCTTGGCGCAAATACTATCAATCAACCTTCACTCTAACAATCCGATGTCGCAGCTATTGCTACCTTGAATTCTGTTAGAAATCTCTTTCAAATAACTAACATATTGTTCTCTCATTGAGAATGTCTGTTGAAAAGCAAATAGTGATTTTTTAAGTAAGATAAGTTTTTTCCACGATAATTTTGGCCTGGCTTGAGAATAGTCATTTGAGAAAAAGAAGGGTTAAGAAGGATGTACAAAAAAATATTTTGGAGGATAGCTCGCAAGAAAGAAGGAGGACCTCCTTTTTTTCCTTAGAAAGCGTACTGTAGTATTTAAGACATGCAAATATATTAGGAATAGGGCTCAATACTTACAGCTCCTTTCAATAGTAAGGATATCCTGCGCTTGAAGAAGCATTAACACAATCTCATATGTTGTATCTCAATACAAAGAGAACTGAATTCTTAGAAGAAAACAATGGTCCAAACGTGAAGCTTAGAAATATTCTAAAAAACGCAAGATAGTCATTTTTTAGTCTAAGGTAAATGTACAACAGCTAGTCTGTAGATGACGAAAGAAGATACTTGCAAGAATGTGTAACCAATTCTTATTTACTCATTTCAGATACAAAATAGAAAAATACCACCTACTAAAAATGGCTGACAAAATACTCCCCAATAAGACTTGACAATTCTCCTCTAGCACGCAACAATAATCATGCAATGAAATTTATTCAATATCTAAATAATTCTAGCACAAAACAGCAGAATTCGAACAGACGTTATTTTTATTTCATGAGCAGATTTTCACGTCTTCACAAGAATTTTAAAATAGACACAAATCTATATTCACATAAAAAACAGAGTTGTTAAAGATAAAACGAGAGATCAACATGCAGGCTCTTCTTTCAGTATTTGTGTCTCATAGAAAACTTATTCTAAATTCGACTGCTATTGGCTAAATATTTTTCATTTTACTTGTCTCACTTCGCAGAGTGCATCGATCAAAATATGATCAGATGTAAACCTAACGTAGCACTGTATTCAACTATCAAACGGGAATTATTCAGATGAGTTCAAATATAGTGATATCGAGCTGCTATTAAAGATACAAATTCTAGTACTAGACTAGAATGTTACTTTAGTTCTAATACAAAAATAGTTCTCAGCAGTAATCTTTTGTTCATAAGAGGACACACGAGAGATAGCTAGATCATAAAAGTAATCTGACTCTCCGCTCCTACCGAAAAACTACTCAGGTCTGGCATAATTTGGATGAGTTTCGTGTGAAATTGATATAATGATAGAATTGAATCCCATCAGTTGGATCCACATGATGGTAATCAGCATGATAATCGATACTCTTATAGGGTGCGGCAAACACAATCCTGTCCTACGCTTCTGTAAATTTCAAACACAATTCAATCAGAGTTAATCGGATCCGATAGAATCCTAAGGGATGCTTTTGATCTGGAACCATGAGAAAAGGTCAAAATATCATGAAGTTCTCTAATTTCATTTTTGCAAGTCCTTCCAATGCTGAACTTCGTAATAACAACAGCAAAAAGAAGGAGCATTCGCAGGCCAGCTTTGATCAATTCATTTAACAATTTCAGTAGAAAGTTCTCAAAAATCTCTTCTGAAAGTTTCTGAGTCCGCAGTGCTGAATGGACTCATACTAGCACTACGACATGGATTCTTTATCTCAGGGCGCGCTAATTACTAAGATCTTGATTATGTGTCACGATCTTTGATGATAATAAAATGGTCATATGGGACTGTCTTTAACAGTAGAAAAGAAAACAGTAGTAGCTTGTGGAATACCATAACGACAAACAAAAAGCCTTTTTCGCGTATATTTCACAGCAGGAGAGCAGTTACTTTTATTCAAATCTGTATATCTATGTAAAGATTTTGTCAATTCTTATTACCTAGATGGACATGTATTAACTAAATCTCTAATAAGATCCATATCATTTAATTGTATAGCACAACGTAATGCCAATGGAAATTGATCATAATGACGATAAAGTTTACATGCTGTACGTAATAATTTTGTATCATCTGGTTCAGGTACATAAGGTACACAACTTAAAAAAATTAAATGATCATAGAAGAAAAAAAAATGTCTTTGTTTTTAAATGATTAAATTTTTTCTTACCTAGTTAAATAAAGACAAACACGTGGAAAAGTATCTTTATCAACAAATGTTTCAATTAAAGCTAATTGTTCTATTTCCATTAAAAGGTCACATGCATCAGCTTCAGCATTATGACGCATTAAAAATGGTATTATTTCATTTGTTAATGAAAGGAGACGTTGACGAAGTTCAGGATTTGTTCCTGTTGCTTCCCATTCAGAAGCAATATCGGCTGATAAATGTCTAGACAAACAAGAATACGTTTTATTATCTATATAAAATATTCACTCATATATATCAAAATATACAGAATTTCAAGCTCTACAAAACTATGTACTTGATTTTTAAAGAGAATGTTTTTCCATTTCGAAGCAATCAATACATTGTATTTCCTTATTGTAGTATCAAAACAAGCGAAAGAAAAAGGGTAACATTGCTAATGAGAAATTCATAAGACTTCCTGAAAAACGAAAAGATTTTCAATGAAGCCGCCTATCTCTCAAAACTTTAAACAACGGCTTCATGTAAAAATCCAGAATACAATAAATGACAAACATTAAAAAAAATTTACATGCATTTTGAGACGTGCTCGACTCTGCGGTTCACCATGTATGTCATCTTGTGAAGAACGAAATTCTGAATTTTTTTCATGTTTATATAGGTACTTCGCAGCTGAATTTTAACTTGAAAAAATTCCATTATTTAAACAATCTTGCTAAGACTAACGTGAAGAATACTTTCAAGGAATTTTCAATTCTCAGAAAATTGTTGGATATCCGACAGTACATCACTCAAACCAAGGACAACATTTTCTATATTTTAATATACAAACGAATAGTTCGTATGANATACCTTTAGTATTTCTCTCTATATGGTACATATCCAAAATAGTGAATGAAAAGGGTGATCGTCGAAACGAAGATTATTAATATAGATCATCGAGAGAAATGTGACAGTGAGATATACAATCAAGAGATGAAAACAACATTTAAATAACTTTTTTACCTAATATATTCATGTCCCCACATGCCAATGTCTTGAGTTGAACCTAATAAACGATATTTAAGTACTTCTTTTGTATCAATAGCTGTCATAGCCAGAACTGAAACAATATCAGCACATAAAGACTAAAAAAGATTATACGATATATATATATATGGATAAAAACTTATCAATAAAAATACTTTATTATGAACGTCATGAATTTTTTCATGTATCTCAATCATATCTTTATAAAATGGTCTCATAAATTTTAATGGTTTTGGTACGCTTGTCATTGAACTAGTTGATTCACGAATTTTTTGTCGAAGTGTTTCAAGTGCCGCTCGATATAAATTTGTATCATTCTCCTTTTAAAATAAAATCATATTAACATAAAAAAATGATCTTTATTTTCTGTTTTAATTTCACTAACTTTTAAACGTTCAACACATAATTCAAGTTCTTCTTTTAATTGTTTATCTTCTTCAGACTAAATATATATATATACAAAATTAAAGTCTAGTCATCTAGAATAATTCTAATTTAACATACTAAGTCTTCTTCCTTAATTTCAACTGGTTTTTTTCCATCATCTTTCTTTCCTTCTTGTGGTTTATTTTGTTCCGTTGAATCCGAACCGGTCATGATTTTAATATTCTATCTAGAAAACAAAAAAAAAACATAAATTAGATATTTTTTTTGTTTTTGTTTATGATGTTTTCTTTATTTATTATTCAAAACGTTCTTCTTGTATGTATTTATTGTTGTTGTTGTTTTTATCTTTACAATAATAAAACGATGGTAATACAAGACACAAAAAGAAACAATTTTCGTTAAATTTTTTTTTCTTCTATTTAAACATTTAATTTTTATTTCGATTTCTTTTGTTTGATTTTTTTCATATAAAAATCGAGTTCTTTGCCTTCAAGAACATAACCATCACATCGACCACATTGACCTGGTCGAGATGCAATACATGCAAGAACACGTCCAGCTTGAAATTGTTCTTCAAGTCCTTGTTCAACTTTTGCACGACGTTGTTTAACAGCCATTTTTTTTTCGGATTTAGCTGAACGTTTACGATTAAGTATAGCATCTTCAGTTTCAGTTAATTTAACACCTTTCTTACGACCAAGTGGCAATGCATAATATGATTCATACCATTGTCGAAATGGAACAGCATCAATTTGTACGATTGTTGATTTTGTTAATGTTTTTGTACGTACTAATTCCTAATGAGAAGAACAAAAACAAAACAAAATGATAATAAAAAAGTAAAGATTTTATTTTTGTAAAATACAAACATTATTCGATGGATGATACATAACATCGATGACACGTGTTTTTTTAGAAATACCTTCTGAACCCCATGAAAAATTACCAATATCAAGACGAAGTGCACGATATTTTTTATTTCCACCTCTTGTACGTACAGTATGAATACGTTTTGCATCTAATTTGGTAAGAGCCGCTGGACGACCTAATTCAAATTTTCGTTTTTTATGTGGTTGTGGACGTTTGCCACCAGTCTTTCGTCGTTTATGCCAATGGTCACGGCTAATACCCATTGTTTTTTTTTCTTAAAAAGGTATTATAAAACTGATCTTAAAAAAAAAACAAAAAAAAATTACTATTAAAAGTTTTAAAGCAAAACAAAAGGCAATATAATGTTTATCGTTTATGTGTAATTTAGAATCCATTTTTATCGTTAGTTTACCAGTCCAGATCGCCTCACTGAAATGCAAAAAAGGAGGACAGTAGAATAGAAAGATTTCTTTTCTTTTTTTGTTTTTCTACTTATTTTATTTAATAGCAAAATAAAAAATTTGTTTTTTAATATTAAATAGTATTTATTAAAAAAATAAATATTCGACTAATTTTATTTTTAATGCGACCTCTGACGATATTGCATTGATATTTTTATGGATTATGAATTAGCCAATAGAATGATTTTTAAAAAGTAACGAAATAGATTTTCTTCTTTTTTTTATAATCGATGTCGTTCGGAAAATCTCGTACTGTAACTCTTTGTTCGCTTGCAAATTTTATCAATGCTGCTGATCGAGCAATTATGCCAAGTAAAGTTTTTATTTTACAAGAAAATTTCAATAAAATATATTTATTTTAGTTGCCATTATTCCAATGGCAAAAGAATTTAATTGGAATTTACGTTTACAAGGTTATATATTATCATCATTTCCTATCGGTTATTTAACAAGTCAATTATTTGCACATATGTTTGTACGACGTTTTGGTACAAAAGTTGTTCTTGCTTTAGCAGTTTTTACATGGTCATTAGTAACATTCGCAACACCTTTTTTGGCACCTGTACCTTTTTTTCTTATTTGTTCAAGAATTGCTCTAGGATTTGGTGAAGGTTTAGGTAAATGAAGAGAAAAAAAAAATAATGAATTAAATTGAAAGAAAAATATTTTTTTTTAAGCTTTACCAACAATATTTCATATATTCAGTAATTATGTACCTATGGAAGAACGATCGAGGTCGTTTAGTTATCTTATTGCATTAGGTTCAGTTGGACAAACATTTGCCGCTCTGGTATGATAAAGAAAAAAAAAAGAAATTTTTTTTTGTATTAGAAAGATAATATTGTTTTAGGTATGTCCTCATATAGCTTGGCGTATTGTTTTCTTTGTATTTGGTTTAATGGGTTTCTTTTGGACATTTATGTGGATTGTTACTTATCGTGATGTTGCTCTTACTCTTGGAAATATTGGTAATGATGAAGCTTTTATTCATCCATCGTCGAAAGTATTGATTTATTTGAAAATAAATTTAATTAAACTTTGTTTTTTTGTTCTCAGTTAGGAAATAAAAATTATCGATGGACTGAATTTATTTCACATTGGCCATTATGGGCAATTTATATAGCACATTTTGCAATGAATTGGTCATCATATATTGTTATGGTATGGTTACCATCTTATTTAACGAAAACATTTGATGCTGATCCAACAAGTTTATCATTTACGGCATTTCCGTATGTTATGAATTGTTTATTAGGTGTTGGTAAGTGAAAATTTGAAAATATGTTTTCAAAAAGAATAATATCGTAACTTTCCGATTTGAATAAAATAAATAGTGTTTATTTTTCCCAGTTTAAAATAAAGATAAGTATACTGTAAGTCTGACAAAACGTGAAACATCTATTTTAGTGCCATATTTTACTCATATGTTGATTCTAACATGATTGATATAATTTTTAATCCTTCTCAAAAATCGATCTTAAATCAGATATTTTCAAATCTCATGAAGTTTTCTAGGATATGTTGAAACTATAGTGGAGAAACTATAATAAAATTTTCAGTGTCATACCATGTCGATTTCGAGAGATATTCAACTAATAGGAGTCAAAAATAGCTCATTTAGAAACTGCAAATTTTTGATGAACCTTCATTCTAGTTACTTAATTTTTTTTTTTAATTGGACACAGTTTTTTTTTAAACTCTTACTTTTTAAGTAGAGAAAAGGAATGAGAAGTTTAATGTATCGAAAAACTCTTGAAAAAATGGCGCTTTAATAATAAAAGTACTCTCTTATATAATAGTAAAAGGTTAATTCAAAAAAAAAAACGGAACTCTGTCACGCCGTGGATCTTGATCTGCACTTTCAAATAAAAACAAGTATTGCATTTATATAAAACAAATGATAGTGAACTGAATTTTTTTCGTTATATGATGATATAACTAATTGATTGTAATCAAATAAAGTAGTTATCCAATTTTAGTTGTTTATGTTAACTATTTTTTTAGATCTTTACATTAATTTTGTTATCAACATCTTTTCTTCAAAACAATTTCTCACCAAATAGAAATTTATAATCTCATGTAAAATGTGTTTTTATGCAGACAGAATGTTGATAATTTAGTTAATGCCGTCAAATAAAAGCTCTTAGTACAATACCTGTGGGATTAAAATGTGAAACATGATGTAGTTGCTCTTGCTAATCATAGGAAAATTGTTTTATTCAATCTATCTTTGGGACATATTTCTTCATTATCTTTTTACTTAATTTTTCAGAAATGCAATAAGTATGTAGTTCATGTATTTAACCAGATCTTATTCATATACGGTCTGTGAAGGATCCAAATTATTATTCCTGTACTTCAGCCAGTGTTTTATAGAGATTTTGTGTTCTGGAGAGGCGAAGTAAAATTTGGAAGAGTCAATTCAACTTTCTAGAGGGCACCGCTCCCTCTCATGTTGAGTAAAACACTAACTTCAATACTCCTTTTAGATCGTATTTCACAAAAACTAATTCAAAGATTATTTAAACTCTATTTGAGTTATACTATTGATTATAAAAAAACTCGAAGTTGTATAGGATTACATCAATCTTATGAAGATCTCTCCACGAGTAAAATATGATATGAAAATTGACAGACTTATATGAATATGTTTGTTTATTCGTATTATTAACATATATAATAGATATTCTTTATGTTTATATTTACTATAGCTGCCGGTCATTTTGCTGATTCTCTTATTCAAAATCGATGGACAGTTTTATCTGTTCGTCGATTAATGACAGCTATTGGTTTACTTGGACCTGGTCTATTTATGTTATTATTTATTTCAGTTGACAATCTTCTTCTTGCTGTTGTGTAATGTTTAGTTTGATTTGATTTGATTTTATCTAAATTAAATTCTTATTATTTTAGCTTTATATCAATAAGTATGGGTTTAAGTGCATGTAATTCTGCTGGTCACCTATCAAATCATGCTGATATAGCACCTAATCATGCTGGTATAACATTTGCTATATCAAATACTCTTGCAACTATTCCTGGAATCTTAGCTGGTCCTGTAACTGCTGAATTAGTTGTTGCCAGTCATGGTCGTTGGTTTCCAGTATTTATTCTTGCAAGTGGTGTTAATTTTGTTGGTGCCATTATATATCAAAGTCAAAGTGCTTCAACACAAATATTGTGATTAATTAAAATAAACTTGATTGTATAGACAAAAATATTTTTCTTTTTGTTGTTGTTTTGAAAGAGATCTGTTGATTTCATTTTAAAGTAGTTTCAAAATGTCATTTGAATGCAAACACAAAAGAATGTTTCATTTTTTTGTGTTTTTTAGCACGAGATAGAATGTTCATATAGAACGACTAAACAAAAAAAATCTATATTTTTTTCTTTCATGGGCATTTATAGATTACAAAAAGTAAACATATACGTGCAATGCGTAAAATTAAACGAAAAATATTATCAAAAAACAGACGAAGTAAAACGATTAGCATCAATGAAAAATGATAATTTTATACGTAAAATAATTCGATTTAATTTATTATTGACAAAAATTTTTCTTAACTTCAACAAATTCAACGAAAGAGTTATTCATTGATGAAAGTAAGCTGAAGGAAATGAATATAAAATTTATTTTAAATATTATTTTTAAGGATATGCAAATACAACAGCGGAATATGATAGTCGTACATTAAAGAAAAAAGATGGTCAATAGCCATCATGGTTAAGTAGTCGTCAACGTAAATGTTTACAAGTTGTACAAAAACGAAATGCATAAAAGAAATATATTTTTGATATATCAGAAACTATGTCAACATAATTTTATTTTGAATTGCATAAAAAGGAAAAAGAAATAATTTTCGTACTGCCGTTTTTTCTGCTTTCAGATATGCTTTATTTTATTGGTCTTGGTTTAGCTGATGTTGATGATTTAACTGTTAAAGGTTTACGTATAATTAAAAATTGTAAAGAAGTTTATTTGGAAACATATACAACTATTTTACAAATTGATCAAAAGACATTAGAAGAATATTTAGGAATTCAAGTCATTCCAGCTGATAGAGAGCTTGTTGAACTTTCAGCTGGTAAAAAAAATTTTAGATGAACATTAGAGATCTTTTTTTTGTTTGTTTATCTTTTGAAGATACAATATTAAATAATGCTCGAGATCATGACATAGCATTTCTTGTTGGTGGTGATCCACTTTCAGCAACAACTCATACTGATTTAATTTTACGTGCTGTTGAACTTAAGATTCCTTATAAAGTAATTCATAATGCATCGATAATGAATGCAATTGGTAGTTGTGGATTACAGGTAAAATATTTTCAATAGATAAAAAATAAAACTATGCATTTATATATGTAAAGTTGTATCATTTTGGTGAAACGGTTTCCATTGTTTTCTGGACAGATACATGGCGACCAACAAGTTTTTGTGAAAAAATTGTTGCTAATCGACGACGTGGTTTACATACACTTTGTTTATTAGGTATATAGATTTTTCATTAATTTATTTTTACTCGGTTGAAAATTTTCAGATATAAAAATAAAAGAACAAGATGAAGCTAGTTACATGAAGTTTGTTGTTCATGCTTATTCGATATATTGAAATTTTTTATGTAAAATTGTTGTCTTTTTAGGAAGAAAAAAACATATTTACCACCTCGTTTTATGACTACGTCTCAAGCAGCTTCTCAAATCCTTGAATCAGCCAAACAATTACAGGTTGAAGATGGTAAATTTATTTTTTCTTGCTCTTAACATTCAAATATTTGCTTTTAATTAAAAAAAAAAAAAAGATGAAGATTGCTTTTTTTAAAAGTATACAATACAATCATTTTTACAGTCATCTGTACCTCGAAAAAAGTCAATTTCCCTCAAAAATAAATCAAAATTGAGATAAATGCATAGGAAGATAGGCCGAGGTCTAATCTTTCATAAAGAATGTAATTTTTTATTTGGCACCTTGGTTTTTTTGTTAATATCCGCCTTCTACTTGAGAATCAGGCGTCTTTCAGAAAAAGTGACAAATTTCTTTCGCTTTTTTCGACCGTGCAATCAGAGTTCTATATATTTAATATTACTTTTTGTTTGGAAGAACATATCAAGATACAAAGGCATGACAGTCTCATTTTTTGAATGAACCTTTCTTCCTATTATATAAGAGTAATTTTTTTATAATTAGAACATCATTTTTTGAGAGTTTTTCGATACATTGATCTTCTCATTCCTTTTCTCAACTTAAAATGTAACAGTTTGAATAAAGAGCTCTGTCCTGTCCGTTCAAACAAAGAAAATTAAGTGTACCGAATGACAGTCCATAGAGAGATTGAGTTGCGGAATGAGTAATTTTTTAAGTTTGTTTATTGAATGGTCTCTTGAAAACATTATGGTATATGGTTGAAAATTTTACGGTAGCCTCTTCACTACAGCCCAATATATTCTGAAAATGTCAGGCGATTGGAGTGTATCTGATTCAAGATCAATTTTTAAGGAGGCCTTCATCAAAACACAAACATAAATTGTAAAAAGATGTGAGTTACATAATGATCGAATTAGCGATAGACAAGAATTAGATTACTTTATAACTAAATTTAATCACAGTAGAGATCTTTACCAAAAGAAAAGATCAAGTTGAATGAAATGAATACATTCTTGGATGAAAATGTCAAGAAAAAAGTGAAAGTTCACCTAATTCAAACATATTTTCAAATACAAATGAAATGACACTTTTCTTCTTAGTCAAACGTTACATAACGAATGGATCGAAAGATTTTAGACAAAATGTTTGTTCATTTTATTCACCGATTAAGAATATCAGTATAATTTTGAAAGTAACGAGATAGAAGAAGAAATTTTCTGCCCTTTGAAACTTCGTAGATTAGCAGCTCTAAGCGAACCTTGGAAAGGCCTGAAAATAAAGTTTGAACAAATTCAAGTGCATAATAAAATGCCCAGAATTGATGCGAAATATATTCCAAATACATCAATACAAAGAACAAGTACTTCTCTACAGATTAATATCCTGATCATGAGTGTTCTGTAAGGCGTCTAGCAGCAATGAGAATTTTAAGAGATACAATAATATTTTTGAAATTCGTTGATTTCCAGACTTATGTAACGAACGCATTGATCCTTGAATGATAGTGGGGAGACTCTAAATTCGTAGCTTTCTTTGTAGAGGGTAGTCTCACGTTGTATATTGCATAAAAAGTCATTAATAAAACAAACACAGTACTTGACATCATTCTCTAGAAGACCGTCTAATATACGAGTGCTGATAAAAAAAATTACAAAACTGAGGCACTCAAGTAAAAAGAAGTAGGATTATACAAAATTGGCGTATTTACGACAGAAAGACTAAATGAACGAGAAAAATCGCTGAAATAAAACATAGGATCAATTTCAAATAAAAAAATAATCGTCGTAGTCTCCGTCTCAGGACCAGCTAGAGAATCGATCTTCGTCCAAGCTTTATTTTCAACCCTTTCAAAGGTTCCATAGCTGCCTCTAATCTGTGAGTGACAAACATTTCTGAACCTAGATTTGAAAAGAATAGGAAATTCTTACTATCATCCAGTTTTTTAACACATTCTGCTGATCATCTTAATCTCTATCGGAAAATGAAGAGGCATTTTGTCTAAAAATTTTCGATTCACTAGTTGCTATACCATTAGAATAAAACTTTTCATTTAATTCTAATCGGAGAACAATACAAATATCCAGGAACACGGGAACAATGCGCAAGCGCGTTCTTCGCCGAGTGTGAGAAAATTTTGATTGTTCCCGAAGTAAAAATCGTTCCTTATATTAAAAACTTTGGCATCTCTTCAATTTAAAGAAATGATGTTCTATTGTTTTGTATTCTAGTTATCAATGATAACACATTATGTGTCGGTGCAGCACGTATTGGTTGGTCAGATGAAAAATTTATAACAACAACTTTACGTCGAATGGCTGATGAAGTTGACTTAGGTCGTCCATTGCATTCACTTGTTATTGTTGGTCAATTACATCCACTTGAAATTGATTATCTCAAAATTCATACAATTGAATCATCATTTGACCAATTAGCTCTAGAGAACAACCAGAGTTTAAACCATTAAAAAGAAAAAGAAATTCTTATGTAAGCCGAATTGTTTTTTTTTCTGCTTTTCATAAGAACAGATAAAACATTTGTGAAAATGATGTTTTATAAAAGAAAAAGAAAATCATTTTTTTTATTATTTCATTCGAAAATGAACATGTGGATGTGAAACCGAAATAGGTGAAGAATGTTGATCGAGACAGATATAATCTGATATCTGATCCATTGATAATTGTTTATGTATTGTTGGGAAATAAAGATCAAGGTTATCGATGTTTTCTAGTAGATATTTAATTTTTTCAATGGAATTTTTCGGTAAATCTAAGTGATTTTGTTGTTGAAAATCATATTCAATTGTCTTTAATATAGTTTTGATTTCATCATTACCTAATTGATATTGTCTAAAAAAAGAAAAAACAAACAAAAAACATTCTAATTAAAACATTCTAAAAAGTAATGACGTTGGCACAATAACATCCCAGATCAAAAAATAAGAGCAAAACCGACTGGAAAACTACGAAAAATGATAAGAATTTGGAAGTAGGAATCCGATGGTCGACTTTGCCTGATTACGAGTGGAACTAGAAGAATCCGATCATTGGATATCTACTGTCATAGCTATCCCATTTTCCAGAGGTTTTTTAGCGGTAGCCTGCCAAAAATTTACGAATCCGGGCGTCGAGATCATTGACCAGGGATCGTGCGCAAAGCTGAAGAAAATTTCATGTTGGTTGTGATATCATCCTGTATGTCTATTTCTATGTACATGATTTATGGTCCGTTGATTACATAAAAAATTTATTCTAGTTTTGTGTGAAGATTTACTTTCTGTTGAGAGTGTGAGTACAGTGCTTTCTTTCATCCGAATGCCACACTAGCATGGTCCAAATTCAAGACGCTGGAAAAGTAAAGTATAACAGATGAATGTTTAATGAAATTGTGGTAACTTTTTGATGAAGGTTATATTGATATTCCAGCATTTTTCGAAGCTATTGGATTAAGATATTTTCAGCGTCTATCAAAAAGTTAAACCGGCATCTCTTTTTGTCTTGTTGTTATTTGTTCATAAGTTTATTGAAATTTGTTTTTTTTTGTTCTGACAATACATTTCTTGTCACAATGTCTACTTACTTGCTCATTTCTCTTCTTCGAAATAATCAATGAAAATTTAACCCTCACAGAAGAAATATGCTAATTGAAATATATTTTTTGTGTAATCAGCGGACAGTAAATAGTGTAAACTGTCTATTCTATCTACAAAAACTTTAGCTAGTATCTTCTTTTAGTCAACTCGACGTGTTTTAATCCCTTATGCGGGACAGGACCAAACTGTCGGTCACCAATTTTTGATCAGTAATTGTTTTCAGCGCATTGGCAACAAAACCATGAAGCAAAGACCTTCGTGTAATGCTTATTTTATTATACTTTATCAAGATAATGGGAAACCGCATATACATAGAGATGTGTTCAATCATCTTGAATTGGCAAGTATCACGACACACCTACTTATGTTTCCCAATCTCGCACTAACAATGGAGGTGTTTGTACTGTAACTTAAAACGATGGCACATATTCGGGTCAAATGAAAGCTCTCACCGCCAAACTAACAAGGTTAAAATATTAGCGGCTGTTGGCTTGCCCAGAGGGAGATATTTAAATTTTAAATTTAGGTATAAAAATGAATCAGGAAAGATTTTCTCCACTATTATAAGGACAAAACATAATGTTGTTCGAGGCGATCATGGGGTTTGTAGGGACTCTCTTTCATATGGCCCGAACAACATCATGTTTTGTCCTTATAATAGTAGAGTGAATTTCTCCTGTAGCTCATGGAAACAGCTTTTTCTATCAACCAATAGAAAAATTCACTCCACTATTATCAGGACAAAACACAGTGTTGTTCGAGCCATATGAAAGAGGGACCCTACAAACCCTATAATCGGCTCGAACAACACTATGTTTTGTCCTTATAATAGCGGAGTGAATTTTTCTATTGGTTGATAGAAAAAGCTGTTTCCATGAGCTACAGGAGAAATTCACTCTACTATTATAAGGACAAAACATGATGTTGTTCGGGCCATATGAAAGAGAGTCCCTACAAACCCCATGATCGCCTCGAACAACATTATGTTTTGTCCTTATAATAGTGGAGAAAATCTTTCCTGATTCATTTTTATACCTAAATTTAAAATTTAAATATCTCCCTCTGGGCAAGCCAACAGCCGCTAATATTTTAACCTTGTTAGTTTGGCGGTGAGAGCTTTCATTTGACCCGAATATGTGCCATCGTTTTAAGTTACAGTACAAACACCTCCATTGTAAGTGATTTTTTATCATCGAACTTGATCAAACAAAGTCAAAGCGATTTCGGACGGATACCTTATTCTATAACTAAGTTCCCGAACAACTTGAGTGAAGAGAAATATAAAGAAACCTTCAATAAACGGATCCAACGGATGTAATTTCATGTAAACAATTCGAATGACTACTTCAAACAGTTGATAGAATGAAAACTTCATGAACTTGTGTCTATATTTATTCTTCGTCGAACCGTCACTCCTTTTGCTGTACTCTCTATATAGTATTATATCAACTAAACAATAATAAAATATTGTAGAATTATAAAGCAGTGTTTGGACCACTAGTATATAAGGGAAGAATATTTTCTCGAGCTTTCTATATGATAGTATGCTGTCGACACGTCATCACTTTCGGATATGTCCTATGTATTTTTTTGTTCGATTTACTAACCGAATAATTTCATTTTGTATTTTTTCTTGATGACTTAAATGTAAACGTTCTTTTTGAAAAATCTTATTTTCCTCATCAATATCAAACAAAAGTAAATCGTCATTTGGATAAATTTTTGTTGTTGATGGTGTATTATGATGACTTATTGTTTGTGTTAATATATCATAATTAACTGGTGTTGTTTTCTCAATAACAGATCCTATTGTACCATTGCTAAAATGAAAATTTAATATTGTATCAAGAAAATCTTCTTCATGTTTATGAGAAGATTTTAAATAATTATTAAGATGTAAGTGTGTTATTATTCCAATAAAAATAAAAATAAAACCAATTAAAAAAAACATAATAATGGATATAATACTAATAGAATGTTTTATAGAATTAAGATAATTATAACAAATTATAGGTTGTTGAGTTAATGAATGAAGACAACATTGATTTATTTTTGAATGATTAAAAATAATTGTCTTTAGAAATGTTATTTGTTCATTTTGAATACGTGAACGAGATACACATGATGACGGTTCATAAGAACATGATGAATTTAAATTAATATTATATGGGAAAAGTTTCGATTCATATGAAAAATTATTATAACGATAGCGTACAAAAACAACTAGTTCAAGAGAAAAATATTTTGTTTTTTGTTTTTATTTAGAAGGTGTTCCAAAAGTCCAAATGAAAAACAAACATGCGAACAACTCCTCAGTAATTTAAGAGGTTTAAATACTTTCTTTTATAGTTTAATTACATATTGATTAAAATATATTTCAGATTAAATTGATGAAGTTAATGATGCTTGTAAAAATGAGTCAAGATCAAATGTTTGGTTTGTGTAACTTTTCTTCATAGAAGTACCTTATATGGCTTTACTAACAGATGTTTTCTCATAGTTCGGTATGTTGTTGCTTGTGGTAATTAACAAGTTTGTGCAATAGACTGAGTACTTGATCTTGGCTCATTTTCACAAATATTCTTAACTACATTGACTTTTACTTCAATAATTGCTGTAGGCTTTCCAGACTATGATCGATTTTCGACAGTATCAGTTTCATAAAATCGTTGAAATATGATTCAATTGATGTGTTTTTGCCGAATTTGACTATCTACTTTCGTTTTTCAATGGTAACTGACTCGAATTGGAACATCGGTACAACTATTCTATTCTAATTCTAACCTCGATGAATGCGCGATCAAAATGTAAAAAGAATATTTAAATCATTTCAATTACTGTGAAACTATTCATGACCTTTTTTTTTTCTTTCGAACTTTTGGAACACCCTCTATTTAAATCAAAAATCGATTTTACTTACTTGTACATACATAAGGAATACAATAATTAAAAATTCTACATCGACGTGATGCACATAATTTTACATGTGTATGTGTTACATTTATAATCGAACAATCAATTTTATTTATTAAATGATGTTCGTATGCTGTATAGATTATAATGAAAATGCATAGACCAAGAGCAATTAAACTAATACCGAATATACCAAATATGACAGAATAAAATTCAAGTTTATTTCTTTCAAATTTATCTAACCATGAACTAAGAAAATAGAGACGACGACTTGAAGAATTATTATTAGGATCAAGATCTAATTCATTAATATTATTAGATTCTGTTGATCTTTCTTGCATAAAAAGACAAATAGCATATCTTTTGGCGCGTTATTTAATTTCATTAAAGGTTTGTTTTGATACATAGAATCCTGTTAATCTTGTTATAAAATAAATTTCTTTTTAAGAGTGAAATAAAAAGCCTGTAAGCATAAACCATCTAGGGTTAAAATATCGAATTCATGTGTTCCTTAGCTGCATGATACTAATATAAAATACATAAAGTGAAAAATCTCTAGCCGAGAATATTTGTTTTCTAAGGATAATCGTTCGATTTTTGCAATTCGAACAGAACTTTTATGTATTCTACTGACGTTCTATTGTTTGCTTGCATTGTTACTATCCATGTTTCTCAATTTTCTTTTCTATATTCCATTTGTCTTAATGTAACATTATTATTATTATTCTAACCATTGATTTAATTGACAAATAGGTCTTTTGTACGCATTCATTATATTCACAGCAGGTGTTAACACGTTACTACGCATCTTGATAAACTCAAAAACACTAATGCTTATTATTCTCCAACGCTATAACTTGATCAGTTTACCCTTTTTGTATGTTGATCATATGACCACTGTGATAGACAAATACAACATAACCCATCATCCTTTACATCTCGTTGATAATCATTTGTCTATGCAAAAAAAACATTTACAAACACATGCCACTCATTTGAATTTCAAGGTAGACTTTGGAGCGTTCTGGAATCTAGTTGTTAATACCGTTCAGCATTTTTTCTCCGTCGCAAAGTAACTGTGAGAAAAGAGTATGTAGCCCTCGGTTACTAGGGTAAACGTGTTCACTGATCTCTCAACAGCATCTTCTCGATTGCGCTGACTCAAAATACAGTAAGAAATAGTCGGCAAACTTCGATTGAAAACTTACACTCACTAGTTTTCTTCGAAAACATTTATTAATGTTATTTTTCAAAATATTACTTCTAAAACTACTGAATAATATCAAAAGATCAGCAGTCAAAGCTGTGTAAATAGAACTCGAACTGATTAATTTTATACTTTGATAACCTAAGATAAAATATCAATGTTTGACATTAATGACGCATAAACCAATTCGAATCATAGTTCTTCGTATGATTGAATTTTGTTCTGTGGTTTAATGAAATGTTGAATACTTCATACGATCAACAATACATTGAATGTTTTCAATATGTTGAAGCCTCATGATTCTTAGTATACAGAGGAATCAAATTTTCTTTAAGAACAATTGTGTAGTAAGTGTATTCTGATGACGATAACGATGACGATGCAAAATTTTGGAATTTTCTTTCTTTAGCACATTCTAAGGTTCTTATTTTTCTTTCTTTCCTTTTTTCTCTTCGTGTGTAGCTATTTTATTCTTGAATATATGATTCATATTTCTTCTAGATTTTTCTTCATTTTTTTTCAATATAAAATCGCATTTCAACGCTCTTTTTTTCTCATCTATTCATCATGTCATCAACTGGTTCAGGTGATAAAGCTAGTGGAAATAGTGTAAATGATGAAGTCAATCGATTAATTAAAGACCATAAAGTTATGGTATTTTCAAAAACTTCTTGTACGTAAAAAAAACATTTTTGTTTTCATACAAAGAAAATAGAGTATGCATTTGTTTTTGTTTTATAAAGGTCCATATTGTACAAAAGCCAAAAAAGTTCTTGGCAAATACAAACTAAAAGATTATAAAATCATTGAACTTGACAAATTAGAAAATGGCGATGATTATATGGACGTACTTGGACGAATTACAGATGCAGATACAGTTCCACGTGTATTTATTGATGGCGAATGTATTGGTGGTGGTGATGATACAGAAAGATTAGAAAAACAAGGTGAACTCGAAAAACGATTGAAAAAAGCCGATGCATTAGAGAACTAAAAATAAACAAAATTATGCATTATTATTCACGTATCCTACTCAACTTATTCTAGATCTAATATCATACATGTATTCTTTTTCTTCTGAAACTATATTAATAAAGAGCAACCTATAGTCTTTTCCTTTTTGTCTTGTGTATGTCAATTAATGTTTTAGACAAATAAAATAAAGATGACAACAACAAGTACTGAAGATCAAAAAGATCTTGAAAAGCTTTTCGAAATTATTCGCCATGCTAAATTTTCAATGTTAACAACGGTTAATCAAGATGGTACACTTCATAGCCGGTAGATTCGCTGTTTCTATTGAATTCATTCTTAAAACAAACTTGAAATTTGTATTTTTTCTTTTTGAGACCGATGATTAATAAACAAGCTGATTCATTCCATGGTGAACTTTGGTTTTTTACACATCAAAGCAGTAAAATATTTATTAATAAATCAACATTTATTAGTCTGTGACCTTCTTTTTATTTTATTTTAGCACATAAGATTACAGAATTAAAAAAAGGTTCAGAAGAAGTTAATGTATCTTATTCAGATCCTGATCATCAATCATGTATGATTGTAATTCTATATGTTAGTCTTATTATAATATGATTGAATTCTTTTTAAGATGTTTCAATCAGTGGCCGTGCTGATTTAGTTGATGATAGTACAAAAAAGAAGGATCTATGGGATGATTCTCTTAAAATTTGGTAAGTCAAAATAATATACGAAGCACTATAAAAGTTTGTTCGTTCGACTCTTCTAAAAATCATAATCTAAGTATCAGTATTTCTTTTATCATTTACAGACATATTTATGATTATGTGAAAAAGTTTCAGCCTGTCATATCTTATGCATAATTGTATTTTCCCATTTATTTGATATTTGCAACACATAGAGATGTGTGGGGCCAAGTTTTTTAGATATTGGTCTTAGTAGCTTCTCATCTACTGATCCCAGTCTCGGTGATTTTAGTTTTTTGGGTTTCTGGCTTAGAGAAAGTATTCGTACCGCATCTAAAAGAATTCTTCAAGAGTTATTTTTGATTGATTAAGTCGTGACTAGCACTTTCTTGAATCATCTATCTTCAATTATTTTCTAATTGATGATGTAAAAAATCATTCATTTAAAAGCATAAAATATTTAGCTATGATCTTTAATTTTGATTAAGATAAGTTTTTTTTTCATGGTCCCGATGACCAGGATTAGGACTAAAATTGGTTCTGTATATTTCTAGTGATACATCATTGTCGACATGAGTTTGAATTCTCACGCGGACAATTTCGCACTATGATTTTTCACGAAAGTGAAGAATTTTTAATATCAATAAGAAAAATTCAATCTTGGGTAAAATCAGTGTATCTTATAGGAGTTTCAATCCAGTTAAGGTTTCTTATTCTTAGTGAACAGCCCAACATTTCGCACAGAGAAAGTTCGAACTCATATCAAAGATGATGTGTGATGAATATGAAAGAAATAAGAAAATACAACTAAAATGCTTAGATTTTGCACATAATTTTAGACATGTCTATGCACGATAAGAGCATACTTACGTTTAAGGCCTCCTCCTCCGTCAAAAAGAGTCAATTTTCAGCAGAAATTTCGAAATTGAAATAATTGTATGGAAAGATAGCCCATCTTTAGATCTTTCAGAAATGATATAATTTTTTTTCCAACACCTCTTGTTTCACGAAAAATGTTGAGGATTTCTATCATCTACTGCTTAAAAAACAGTCTTCTTTCGGCTAAAATAGAAAATGTTTTCCGTTTTTTCTCAGTTTATGCTTTTTCGAACGCACAACCCAAAATTCTCTGTCTAGGCTCATCCTATATATTTAAATTATTTTTTGTTGGAAAGAGCATGTCAAGATGCAATGCATGGTCGAGTCCTTTTCTTAAATTAAGCTTTGTTTTTATTATGTATATAGACACTCATATTAATAGGCACCTATTTTTGGCGCGTTTTTTGAGTCATTGAACTTGTGATCTCTTTTCTCCGTTTAAAAAGTAAGAATTAAAAAAAATAGGGCGCTATCATGCACTCATCTTGACATGTTCTTTCCAACAAAAAAATATTAAATATATAGAATGACCCTGGAGAGAGAAATTTGAAATGTCAAGTTAGCTATTTTTGACCCTTGTTTGGTCAATATCTCTCTCAAACGTCATGATACAGGGCTGAAAATGTTACCATAGCTTCTTCACTTCATGCCCAACATCCTAAAAATTTCATACGATTGTAAAGTACCTGAACTGAGATCGGTTTTTGAGGGGAGGGAGGAGACCTTAAATTATGACTTTTAGGAGAGCCAAATGAAAAATCTTTTTACTAGTCTATATAGAATAAAAATATTGATGAATTTGGTGTATTTTAACAATATAGGTTTCCAAAAGGTCTTGATGATCCTGACTTAACATTGCTTCGGTAATTAATCTAATATTTCTTATTAAAAATATATGAATTATTTTTTTAGTATTAATATTGTCGAAGCAGAATATTGGGATGCATCAACATCAATTATGAAAAAACTATATGGATTAGCTAAAGCAACTATTTTAGGTGATCATTCATCTTTAGCTGGTGAAAATAAAAAATTCATTTTAGCTTAAAATCATCAATACACATCTATTTATTCAAGCTAGTCCTTTTCAATCGAGCAAATATTTTATATTCATTGCTTTTATTTTATATTTCTTAATTCAGCGAATTTTTTTTTTCGAAATAAAATTTATGTTCATTATTTGTATGTTCTATCAGTCATAAATGTTAAATCAATGATTGATCGCTTCGAAAGGATTATTACAAGGAAGCTATTCAAGAAATAAAAATTAATTCCAATATTCATACTACATTAAGACAAAAAGAATTTTATTAAACTACAAAATAGTTTAAGAGAATGACAAAAATTGCCTTGATTTGAAATGTCAACAAAGATCTCGTTGTCTTTACAAATTGCAAGTCATGTATTTTATATTTTGTTCATCTCATTTGAGTTTATTAGTGTTATATATTAACATCGAAAAGATCAATATGTCAACTAATTTCATTCGTTCATCAGACATCTAATTCTATTTATTGTTTAGGTACTCAAACTATTTTAATAGACCCGTAATTAGGTATACATTTGTAAACCATGCACAATGAAAGCTACAATTGAATTAGTTCGAGCTCGTTGGCTTCCGATAAGATGAGTGAATGCGTCTAAAGTGATAACGAAACGAACGACTATTGATCATTAGGAACGATGATGGAAGAAAAATTATTCTTTTTAGGATTACATCAAGAGAGAAACACGTCCTGCGCACATCGATCTTTTTTCTCATCTTGTATTTGTTGAGTTGTTTTATAAGTGGAAAGTAATAGTTCGGACCAAATTTATTCTATCGTTTATCTAGAGTGAACAACACATCATCATGCAATCCAATATCATTGTCCGATTTGCTTTGGCCGTGTGCCTTATTTTCCTACTATTCACTACTGTTCTTTCTGAGTCTAGTGTAAGTTTTCAGAATTCTTAGTTCACCATTTTAAAGATTATGTTTGTAATTTTTTATTATAGCCTTCTGATTCAAAAACAGAGTAAAACTACATTATTGAGATCATATTTTTGTTTTTCATATTAAAATTTCTTTAGAATCAAAATGCGCGTAGCTCGATCAGTATTCAGTGAATCAGACGATGATCTCAGTCAATTTTGTCAATATCTGTGTACGAATAATCAATTATTGACAAAAAGGTAATCAAATTTATTTTCCTTGTTGTTTAGATTAATGTTTTATAACTTATTTTTAGAGCCTATTTAAAAGGTTTTGTTCATGGTCGATCAGCGAACGAAGATTCTGAACAACTAAATAACGATTATGACATTCTCGAAAAACGTTTTGTTCATGGCAAACGTTTTGTACATGGTTAAACATCATTAAAAATAACTTTTCATTTTATTCATACACATATATCGTTATTATCAATTAAAAAGGCTCTCAAAACAAAAATAATATTATTCGAGTTATTAGAATCATAATAAAAAAAAACTGCTTAGATATGATTTAAAAAAAAAACCTTATTGTTCATCAAATTCATGTTCATCACTGACATCTAATGGAAATTGTGAGTGTACGAGTTGTTTCCTTTGACAACAATAAGTACCATGAAATAAGACGAGAAGAAAAAAGAAAAAGAGAAAAAAAGTATCGTATGAAATAAAAACAAGAAGACCTTCAATTTGATGATTCAACAAAAGATACTGGAAAAAAAGAAAATCAGCTGCTACAATTTCTAAATCTATATATAAATTTTTGTTGTGCCATTGTGAATAAAAGAATCTAAAGACCTTTCATATTTTATGATGATTACATATCCAGAATATAAAATAAATAATCAAACGATTTTACAAGAACAATTTGATGAAAATTATGAACCTACTCAAGAAGAAATTCGTGAATATGCAATTTACATTGGTATTGATCCAGATAAAGTAAATTATTGAGATGAAAAAACGACAAAAAATTTAAAGCAATCATTTGAAATTTTCCTTTTGCACTAGGAACCTCATCTTCTTTGGTTAGCTAAAGAAGGTATTATGAAACCATTACCACCGGGTTGGAAACCGTGTCAAGAAGAAAATGGAGAATTATATTATTTTAATTTTGATACTGGTAAATCATCATGGGATCATCCATGTGATGAAATATATAAAGCTCGTGTTCTTGAAGAACGGTATGTTTTAGTTGAATTTTACATTGTGTTCTTTAATATGAAATTCTTATTTCTTTTAAGACGAAAGCAACCATCATCAACAAATCTACTTGATACAAATCCAAGAGGTACATATTAGAGTTAACGAAACATTTTTGAGAACATGATATAAAAATAAAGATCTTTTTGTAATTTATTTATTAAATATTCAAAATAGTCGCCATGATTATTTATAGAAATCTCGATTCTTTAACAGTTAACTGAACATTTTTTTAAATTCTTTTCTAAAAGCCTTTGTTTTTTTTTTTACTGTACTTAGAAACCGTACGAGCAAATCGTTTTATACTTACTTAATCAGATAAATTACGTTCGATAGAATTACTTCGCCAAAAATTACATAGTGTCAGATCTGACAAATATGATATTATATTGATACCTTCTTCTATTAAATAAATAATAATATCGGATGAGTATGCAGTCAATGATGATCATCTAGTAATATTATGCACCAAGTGTTTCTGTTTGTTTTCCTATTTCATTCAAAAAGAAAAAAAAACGCGCATCAGATAAATTTTCACAATATAGTTGTAATCTATGGTCTTGCCATTATCTATATGATATATAAATAAAATATGATTTGATTTAAATAATGTACGAAATTAACTTTTCAGTTCAAAATTATCTTATAGAATGATAATTATTAACGAGTAATTGTCAATAATTTGGCTAGTATAAGTTAACTGGTGAGCAATCTGTTTCTAACAAATTGATAGCTGTTCGTATATAATAACATGATTTATCATGAAATGTCACCAAATTTTCACGAAAAATACTAAATCATTCTAATTGGTATTCATCACTGAAGTGTGGAGTGTTCGACTATACGGTTTTTCCAATGATTAAATAATTGTGATTAATTCGTTGTATTTGTGCCAGACGAGAACTAAGTTGCAACTATAATAACATAGTTAAATATGATTTATTGCTGATAATTTATCTAATAAATTCAATATTTACATAAGTAGGCTTGAAAATTGAACGAGCAAATCGATATTTAGTATTCAAATATTTTCTTCTTTAACGAAAACACATAGCTCAACTTACAATTGTTACTCATGATAGAGTATTAAATAACAATTGTAAAGAAAGTTCTAGTTGTATTTTTTTTTGCATGTGATCCTAAACATAATCTTAATTATAATATAGAACTCTAAAACTAAATCCAAAAAGACAATTAATATAAATCAATATTATAGATGAGACATTCTAATATTGACTCAACGATAAAGGAGTTATGAATTTATGATTTAGCAACATAATCCCAGTTTTTGATTATGCCTACGCATTCAATCAGAATAATATTGCATATTTGATTTCATATTAAAACAATATTTTTAGGTACTCTTACTCAAACAGGTAGAAGTACATCGACCGTAAGCGATTATTTATCAGGAGGAAAAAAATCACTGCCAATGGGAAGTAATGTTAATACACCTGTTGTGGCAAGAACTGAAGCACATGCTAGTAAATATGGTAACGGGGAAAAAAAAAAACTTTTTAAGGTCTGAAATTTTTTTGTTTTATTTTGTCATTCTTCTTAGATGCCCAATATGTAAATAGTGATAATGATGATATTGACGAAGAATTAATGAACAGTGGAGATGATGATGACGAACAAAGTAGTGATGATTTTAGAAGACGAGTTGATTTTGGTAAATAAATATAAATACTCGAAAAGAAAAACTAATCATATTTGTCAATCAAAATTAGGTATTGATCCTAGACTTTCTGCACGTATTGAAGAAAAAGAAAAAGAAGCAATTACAACATCAACAATGTCTGCACCTCGTCCAATAAATCCTTTGGAAAATACAGGTTGATTATTTATAAATTTCTTCACAAATATAAATTCAATATATTTTATAGACAGAAAAATAGAGAATAGAAAAGATTCTCTAAATGATGATGATAAAGAAAATAATCGAAAAAAACGTGCTGAATTATTAGCAGATGCAGCTGTACGTCGTTTATCCAATGCTAGTATGAATAAATCAGGACCTCATTTAACTAATGTAAATATACACTATAATATTAATTTTTTTTTAATTAAATTTTCTTTAGGAAGATACATTAATTACACCACGTGAAGAACATGATCTAACTCAACTTCGAGCACGACTTGAGGAGTAAATATATACATATGTCAAAAGTTGACTTTATAATTCACTTGTCTATAAAAAGCAATTAGTAGACTTTAAAATGTGAAGTAATAAATGTTTATTAATATGATCAATATCATGTTTATTGAATAGATGAACTTGAGAAAAAGGAACAAACATGAACAAGAGCATTATAATAGTGAAAGAAGTTTGAATATCTCCTCTAAAACTACAACCTGACTGCTATGTTGTCCTGGACACTCTTAGATAGGCATTTATCGTCGTGTAGAATGTTTTTTTTTCATTATGAAATGTTATGATGGTACGACAATTTTTAAGAAATTATTTGTTAAATCCACGTCGAAAATCATTTATTATCAGTTATTCCATAATAATTTTATGTTTCTATATTTTGAAGTCAACTACTAGTTGTTTTTTAAGGATACTTGACCTGATTTGAACTACTTCTACGTCTGCGCAACAGTACAATTGATAGGACTTAAGTTTTTACCACAACCAGATTATCGAAAATTATGGGACTCAAGTTCGAGGAAAAAATTTAAAAAGAGGATCTTCATGGCTTTTTGAGCTGGTGCTTTTTGTATTTTTTAAAAATAAAAACTGAGAGATTCTCATTTGTAAAGAAGCTCAAAAACAAGTCTGAGACTTTGGCTTAGATACTTCAAAAAAACCCTGAAGAGCCACTTATAAAATTTTTTCTTTGGACTTGAGGTTCATCATTTTCGATAATCTAGTTGTGGTAAAAGTTTGAGCCCAACCAATTGTACGCGCGCGGAGTACCAGAAGTGACCCAAAAGACAGACTACTCTAAAACTCAACCTAATTTTAAAGTCAATTCCAACATATATATTGTTTTTTTTTGTTTTTTAACTTTTATTTTGATTGTTTATAAAGATCTGCCAATGAAGAAAAATTACAAATACTTGAAGATAATCGAAATTATATTGAAAAAGTAAAAAAAGAATTAAATTTAGCAAAACAAAAAGAAGAACAAACATTACGCGATAAAATGAAAACTGATTTAGCGTAAGATCAATTTAACAAAAAACAACTCACAAACATACGTCATTTTTCTTTTATTATTCAGTTCAATTGAAAGTAATTTACGTGAAAATATTGCACGTGAAAGAAAATCATTAGAAAATCAAAAACAAGAAGAATTAAAAAATATTAAACAAGTAATTGACAGAGAAAAAGAAGAATTGCAAAGAAAATTAAGGTAATCAAAAACAGAGAAAAATAAAATAGTTTACGAAAGAATAAAATTTTTTTCAATTTTAGAGAAAGCATGCAATCAGATTTGAATGTATATAAAAATACACTTGATCAACAGAATAATTCGAATGCACAAATTCGTTCTTTACAAGATAAACATAGCCGAGATAAGAGTGAATTCGAAGAGGTTTCATTTTTATACAAAATCTTCTTATTCATAAAAATGTGTTTTAATTTTAGAGATTACGTCTTCTAGAAAGTCGCCATAAAAATGAAATTGATGATTTAAATCGACGTTATGAACAAGCGAAAGCTGATAGAGATAAATTAGAAAAACATTTAAAAGAGGTATTGTGATGACGTTCTATCTATTACAAACTTACTGTTTCCAAAATGTTGCATGTGCAAATATAGATTACGTTAATCAAAATAAAGCTTAGAAAAAAATGAATGCATTCGTTAGGGCTCTAACACACTATACGAATTATAACTGAATTAAGCAATCTAATTGATGTTACTACTTGAAAATATCAATCAGATTTATGGCTTCAATTTTAGTTCACCTCATCTGATTGATCTCTTACGAAAGAAATCCTGCAATTGATAAGTCGTTTTTGATTCGAGACAATGTGTATTATGTAGATCCAAATAAACATGGAATACTCTGAAGAGAGTTCGGGTCTTTACTTTATTACAACGGGAATAGTACACTTTTACGATAATTTTTAAATGAATGCTGTGCTACTCTTCAGGAACATTACAACAATTGATTTTTTGAATTTCGACTTGAACTTTTCCATAGAGGCAAGTCTTAATGAGAATAGTTTCTTATGAATGTTTTAAATCTTGTTGCTGTTTTTTTCCTAAGATACAACTATGGTAATAGCGTGTATTTTACATCGATCAAAGAAACCTGTGAATTTAATGTTCTTATTTCAAGGTAAAAGCAAATCGAAAGACCTGAAACTTTCACAATAAACTACTCTAGTTAAGGACACTCTGTGTACAATGTTTCAAGTCAAAACTTGAATACTAGTTTTTCTGGTATTGCTGAAGGATACTGCGGCATTCATTTAAATAATATCGTAAAATTCTATTATTTCCTCAGCTATACTCTAAGAGCACGAACTCTTTTTGAGAGTATTCAATACTCATTTGGCTCTGTATTATACACATTGTCTTGAGTCAAAAGCGATTTATCAGTGGATGAACTTCCGTCGTTAGTCGAAATCATTTCGATTAGTTTCTTGATATATTAATCATGAATAACACATAAAGTTTAGGGAACAAAAAATGCAACAGAAAAAAAAAGATCGTATGTTTCTTTTACTCCGATGTATAATTAAGGTAAATCAAGTTTTTGTATCTCCTTTAGCTTTGTGCGTATGAATACATAACTTCAATTATTGGCTGAGTACTTATTTAGATACAGAGATTCATAAAAATGACTTTTTGAATACTTCGACAATATTTAAAGTTATATGTGTTCATAGGCACAAAAATTAAGAAGAGACTAAAATTCGATTGACTCTAACTGTAGATTTCCAAGTCAAGAAAATATGAGGTGTTTCAGGATGGAAAACTCAGGAAAATAGTAGGAACTAGGAAGCAGAAATTCAGTGACCGGCTCGACCCGGTTACGACCGAAACTAAAAAACTCCGGCTATCGGATTCTTTCTGCCAAGTATCTATTATTTTTCTGAATTTTCCGATCAGAAACGGCATCTTTTCGACAGAGACCCATCGGAACCGCTAACATGGGTTATAGTAAAAAAAAAACTATACAATCTTTTTTCTGAAGCATATCTTGTCCTCTGAACATTAATATATCAAGCAATGTAATGAATTGTGTACTTTATCGAAAAACGCATCAAACTACAATATTTTTAAGTAAGGAAAACAAAGGAAAAAAGTTCAATTGAAACACATTGTAAAAAAAAAGAACTCTACTCTAATCAGTTGCTAATCTAACAAAAACTATGACGCTATAATTTTTATATTTTATAGAAAGATAATCTTTGCTCAACATTACAACGATCAATGGATCAATTACGTAGTGATAAAGTAACAGTTGAACGAAAATTACAAGATGCTGAAATCAGATTGAAAGCAATTGAGGATAGTAATCGACAAGTACAATTATCTATTGCTCATAAATCATTAACAAACGGTAGTGAAAATGATGAAGACGATGATGATGATGATGACAATTTTACTCCAAAAAAACTTAATAGTAAAAATAAAAATGGTTTTCATGATGATGATGATGAAGCGGAACAATTAAGTGATACAGATAGTGATGTAGTTGAAATGGAACAAACATTAAAAGAATTACGACAAACTCAACGTGAATATATGTCACTTCTTCCAACATCAAATATAGATGAAAGCCAAAAACAACATATGAAAACAACAACAATTGATTTAACAAAATTATCTGTTGCTGATGTTGCCCCAGTTATAAGAAATATTCGTACAATTAATCGTAATATGCCAAGAATGTATGAATCTTTTGAAACAATACCAAATCAATTATTAACTGATTCAGGACGATGGTCAAATACAATGATATCAACACTTAGTAATAATACAAATTCATCATTTATGTATCAAACAATAAATGGTTATCAACCGATAGTATCAAAAAATAATCATTGGAGTTCACAACCAACCCTTGTTACAAGAGAAGCTGTATTAAAAGCAGCACGAAAAGTATTTGCACCTGGTGTAATTGATCAATTAACATCAAATACAAGATCATCAACACAATGAAAAATTATCATTTTCTTTATTAACTTCTAATGAGATTTGAAACGAATTTTGCACGTTAGTTTTTTTTCTTTTTTGATCTTTTTTTTTCGTTTTATTTGTGCAATTAATTTGTTTCTTATTTAGAATCTATTCGTTCATATACGCACATTTTTGTCTTTTGTTTTTGAGATTGATAGAAAATTTTATGGCATGCATTTGCTTTTTTTCTTGTTTATTTTGTGCAAATTTAAATAGACTCTTCTTTATTATTTGTCGAATATTTGTTTCTTCCAATTGCACACCAGTTCTTTTTCGGTTTCTTATCGACGGCTATACATAGTCCGGTTGTATTTATTATAAGCGTGAAAATAGTTTGCTTGTTTTTCTTCTTTTTTTTTTTTTTATAATTCGCAAAACATATAAAGGCTTGATGTGAAATAGTTTCATTATTATGCGTATTTTTTTCTCGTTTGACCAATAATATGGAATTTCAAATAAAAATGAAGAGTGCATTTGCTATATATTTATTTCCTGATAAAAAGTAGAGCACAATAATGAGAATAAAACAATTGTTAACTATTTATTTCTATTGATTTTGCTGATAGTAATGATAATATTAAACATGCGTAGTAATGATATATAATCGTTCGATATTCTCGTCATAATTATCTTATGTTTAATCAGTAGGGAAAGTAAATTAAATAAATAAATACATATGAAATATTATGCTGAAGCACTGTGCTTAATGGAAGACTTTTTGTTGTGTAACAAAACTAAAATAGAATTATTATTGTATTTGTATATGATAACACATCCTTTGATATAGGATATATAGTTGATAAATTGATAACTGAAGATTGATAATAACATGTTCTTTAGTACTTAGCTTATTTCAATAATACAAATTGAAAACATGATTAAGAAATTAATATTAGTAAACATGAATACTTTGCTTTATATAGTCTTATTAATATTTCATTTAAATAACTAGTTGATCAATTGATTACTGAATAAGATTAATTAGGCGTTCTTGATCATAATTACGAAATTACTCCTAATTTACTATACTTTTATAATTGATTACCGCTGAATGTACTGTTTTAAGAACATGGAGTGGCTCAACTTTATTATCCACATTATTTCACATATGAGTATTTGACTAGGATGGCAAAGATCCAATTGCTAAAAATGCTACAGTAATTATCTACCATCCAAATACATTTTATGGAGGTTCTGCTGATCATTTTCATGACTTTAATAAACAACAAAATTATAGAACACATGCATTTATTAAGTATGATTTTATTGGATCCATTGGCGTATATAGTAAATTTTCATTTGGTTAGGTGAAAAAATATGGATTAGACAAGAACAAAACATAGCAACACGTTTCGACAACTCATAAACATATACTCTGCGTTTTGTTGTTAAATTTTCAAATTCCATTAGTCTAGCATTAATTATGTTTGTAAATAATCAATGCACTTGTTCAACTCATTTAGATCTTGAAAAATAATTTAGAAATACTTGAATTTATAACGAATATATAGTAAATTTTGTTGCTACTGAATACCATACCATACTCAAACACCTAGCTAGGGAGCTGCGTCTCCGTGGAAATCGGGTCCGGGCCTAGACCCGGTGGTTTTTTTCATGGGGGTGAAAACTTGAAAAATGATCACGTAATATTTGAATCAACTATCTGAAATAGCTGGAATGGGGTGAATGTGTCAAATATTACGTGATCTCTTTTTCAAATTTTCACCCCCATGAAAAAAAAAACACCGGGTCCGATTTGCAGCTCTCTATACCTAGCACATATTCATGCAAAGATATGTACAATACATCAAATCATCTAATAGTGCAATATGTTATCGATGGTGATCCATACATACAACAAACATCTAATCATCCATGAAATGTAATCAGATTACTATAGACAGGTAATGCGCTCAATTTAAATCTTGATTATCATGAAAATGCTGCTTATGTGACATATTAGTGTACAGAATGATCCACAAGGACTATCGAAAGCTTTCAATCGAGTTCATACAAGACTTTCTTTAGTTAAATAATTTACTGAAGCTGTATCAAAATAAAAACATTTTAAAGTGAGTATGGAAACTTTTGCCAATGTATATCTTTATTTGTTACTAATCGATGAAATTTGATGATTATATTTCGAAAGAAAAATAAATAAATAGACACAAAAGAGAAAGTTGTAATATCTACAGGTAGTACCTGATATAAGAAGTCTCATCAAATTTGCTATAAAAATTGTATATATATATATGTAACATCAACAGTCTGAAACCCTATTGACTATAAACTCTATTTCAAAAATATTTTCACCTGAATAGTTATTCTTCTACCGATATTTACTAATAAAGTCGCACTTCGTGATATTGATAATCCCATAAAAAAAGAAAATAAGAATTATTCTTTGCCCTGACTCGATATAAAGTCTTTTTTTTTCGGTCTGAAGTATCTCAAATATCATTATGACAATGCATACGATAAGTAAAAAGAAATGTGCATATGTCATATGTGTATTTCTTCACAAGTCAACGTTTGTGAGAATAAACCTTCTGTCACCTTGCTCGGACCACTTTTAACAACATCATTTGATTACACCTGTGTAACAATGGGTAGTTTTCGTCTTTCACTACTTTGTCTATTGGTTGTTATTTATCCGATTTACTCGGGTAATCCAAATTGTAAAGGTAATTATAATACAAATCCAATTGTACGAGATGAACCTACTTTTGTAAGTTCTGTACCAAATGGAAAACGTTTTGTTGTTGGATCAGGTTATAATAAAATTAATATTGTTCATGTCTATGGTGGTACACCATATGATATGGGTTATGCATTGGGTTCATTAATGAGTAAAGAATTAAAGGAACTTACTCCTGAATATTTTGATTATTTGGATAAAACAATTGAAGATAAATTGAAAACACTTCCACCAGTAAATATGAAAGAAAATTTGTTGCTTAGTTTTTTTTTCTTAAAGTAACATTGTTTTTGTTTTTGTTTTTCTAATAGTTTATTGCAAAATGGATTGCAGAATTAGGTTTATCGGGTGCACTTGATCTTAATTATGAAATAACACGTCTTTATACTCCACCATGGTTTGATGAAGAACTTCAAGGTGTTGCTGCTGGAAGTGGTGTATCTTATCAAGATATTCGTCGAATGAATTTAATTCCAGAATTAATCAAAGCTGCATGTACTGTTTTAGGTGCATGGGGTGAATCAACATTAACATCATCATTACTTCACGTACGAGCACTTGATTGGGATGATGAAGCTCCTCTAGCTAACTATGCTACAGTAACTGTTTATCATCCAAATGCATCCTATGAAGGTTATGCAAATCATTTTCATGAATATTATAAACAACGAAATTATGTATCACATACATTTGCTAATTTTGGTTATCTTGGTCTTATTGGATCAATTGGTGCATACAGTGAAGCTTCAATTGGTTTAGGTGAAAAAGTATGGATTACAAAAGAGCAAGATATAACAACACGTTTTGGAAATCCATGGACATATGTTCTTCGTGATGTTGTTCAATTTTCACATTCAATTGATACAGCATTAACTATGTTTATTAATGCTCAACGAACATGTTCAATACATCTTGGTCTTGGTTCATATGAACGTAATACATCAATGATTAATGATGAACATATTGGATTTCGTGGTATTGAATATAGTGCACATGAATTGAATGTTTACAATTGGGAAGATATGTTTGATACACCAAATCATCCACGATTAAAAAATGTTGTCTATTGGGATAAACATGTTCAACCATCGAATGATCCATGTTTAGGTAGTTTACTTGTTGAAAGTTATGGTCATCTTAATGCAGTAGATATCATTCAAAATATTACTAGTGTGGCAGAAACAGGAAATGCAATTAATTTAATTCTTGATTATGGTGAAAATGTTGCTTATTTGGCATATAGTGCACCTGATGATCCTCAAGGACCATTAGAAGCTTACAGTCGTGCTCATACAAGACTTGATATGGCTAAATTATTTTCTGAACCTGCACCAAAATAAAAATTTTATTTTAAAAAAAATATCATTTTAAATTTCTATTAGATTTTCTATAGAACACTTTATTTTTTTATTTTTAATCTTCAAATTAGCGAAAAAAAAAGAGACAGGAAAAACAAAAATGTATGACCAAGAATAGAACAATATTCACAACAAGAAAAACCAAAACAACATCGATAACAACAGTTGTAAACGTCCTAATCTATTTTACAAATCATCAAGATGAGGCAACCAAAAGATCTAATAAAAAACAAATAATAATATTAGTTAAAAAATCTAATAAATATAAATTAAAAACAAAAAAACTTACCAACTGATTTGATGCACTAACAAGAAGCATAAATTTTGGATTCATTGAAACAATTGTTTGACCAGACATTGAATCAGAAACAAGAGTGCATACACGATTACCTGTTTCAGCATTCCAACAATGGATACGTCCATCACTTGCACCTGAAAATACAGTAAAAAACTATTAGTACAATGTCTGCAGAATTAAAATGCAAAACACGATATAGCTACTGTTGCTAATCACAGGGAGATTATTTTACTCTATGTATTATGGGGATATATTTTTACTTAATCTTTCAGAAATGCAATAGAGAACCAGATCATTTAGTATAAAAAGACCTTATTGATACGCGGTCTGTGATCGAGAGTGAAAGAGTGTATGGCTAAAGTATTTGTCACGGTCTGTGACGCACAAGTGAATGTTATTAAGGCGTTTGTGACCCAAGAGTAGGGTCGTATTGATCAGGTGTCTGTCATAGGTCTCGATGTGGGAGTGAGTGAGGTAGGCTAACCTCTCCTACTTTTTATGTCCTAATTCTGAAAATGACGAACTGCTGTCTAAAACCTGTCTACCAAGCTCCGGAAAGTAGCCTTTCTCATACACTTTTTTGCTAGACAAAGTTCCTGTCAAACTTTTAGCCCGCTCTAGTTCGAAAAATTATTGAAAGCTCTGGTGTTTGCCAGGGTCTGTGGAAAGGTTCAAATTTTTATCTCTATACTTCAACACTTCTTTTATATTATGTTTCATAAAAATTTCATCGAATATTTTCATCTATTCAACTAACCACAGAAGACGAATTGAGCATCTGGACTAAATGAAGCTTCAATAGGCATATTTTTTGTATTTGTAAAACCCTAAAACAAAAAAAAACAAAAAACGATATTAGTTTAATTTATTTCTTTTTCTATTGTCAACAAACCGTTAAAGTATGTTTAAGTTGTCCAGTAAATGCATCAATTAAACGAATAATATTACCATTTGTTGTAAGCATAATTGTTTTACCATCAGCACTAAATTTCAAACTTGTCCATTCACAATCTTTTTCTTTTGCTAATTGAAAAGTTGAAAATGGACCCTAATTAAGAAAAAATTTATTCTTTTGCAAATTTAAATATAAAATAATACAATAACCTTATCAAATGAACGTAAATCATACAATTTAATCATTTCAGATGTAATACCAGCACCAAAAATAAGACCCTAAATATAAACATATTAGATTTTATCATCTATTTCAACAGATAAAAATCAGTTTTACTTCAGGATCAAAATTAGCTACTGGTCGACCATTCAAATGCATAAGTCCCTTTAAAATTTCAGAAAAAAAGATATTATCAATCACTTTATAGCAAACTATTAGTAAAAGAACAAAAACTAACTGCACAATTTGCCGATTTCAAATCCCATAATCGTATTGTATTATCAAGAGAACCAGACAAGAAAATATCATCAACTGGCGACATTGATAATGCAATAACTCTAATAAAACAAAACAAATTCAAATAATCAATTTTATATATAATTTAAACGTTTCTTTTACTTTCTAACATGACCAGGAAAATATCTAATATATTTATTATCATGTAAAGATAAAAACCGAATTGTATCTAAAAAAAAAAAGAAATATTTCTTAATAAAATTCAGTCTAAAAAAAAGAACAAAAAAATTCTTTTATTTTTATTTTACCATCAATTTTTGTTGAACTATGTATAACTGTATTTGTTGCATGTGTAAAACGAATCAAATCAACACCATATTTTTTGCTATTAAGTGTCTTTTTTGCTCTAAAATGAAAATTTAAAATTTTTTTTCTATAATAAAAATTGTAAATACATACGATCCAGCTTGACAATCATATATAACAATTGAATCATCATCACTACTTGTTATTAGTGTTTCACCGTTAGCAGAAAAATCTAATGCATTTATTCGATCTGTATTTTCATGAAAAACACGTGCATTTCGAAATGTTTTAACAACAGCTTCTGTTAATTTAAGTCCTTCAACATTATTATTTGTTGTTGAATTTGTTGGAGATGTTGTTGTATTTAATGTTGTCGCCATTAATTGAGATTCATCACGCATAATCAATTCATATGAATATAAAATGAAAACAAAAAAAAGTTTTCCTTTTTTATTTTCTTAATAAGATTTCCGTTTATATGAATTTGATTTCATCTACTATACATGATGTTGTTAATTGGTTCGACGAATCAATGAATACTTAAGCGCCACATACAATGAATTTCATTTAGAAAAAAAAATAAAATTGTTTTTGCATTGGTTCATGTATTTCTTCAATCAGAATAAAAGTTATTTGTTACTGTGTGAGAGAAGAAAAAGAATAATAAAAAGTCTTCTGTGTTTTATTGAACATGAATCGGCTGACAGCATTTCGAAGTCAATTTGATTTTCAATCGATACGATGGAAAGATATGATTCGGTTTGTTTTTATATTTATTAGTTATTTTATAAAAATGACTTATTGTTTTAATGACTTCCTAGCATAAAATCTCATTGTTCTAGCCAGCGTCCGAGAATTGAATATGTTTCCTTTTTTTTAAGGAGAAAATCATAAAGTTCCTTTGTTTGTTAAAATGCAAAGATTGTTTCGTATATTTTAATTACACATTTTTTGTAATTAGATGGTTTCCTGGTCATATGCATAAAGGTATGAAAGATCTTGAAGAATCATTATTACGTATTGATGGTATTGTTGAACTGCATGATGCACGTATTCCACATTCTGGTCGTAATCCCGAATTATATAAACGATTAGTTGGTGGTCATAAACCACATATACTTATACTTAATAAATCTGATTTAGCCGATCCAAATTATTTAAATAAATCTATTGAATATATTCAAATTGAACAACCAAATACACAAGTTGTACATACAAATTTAATGACAATTGAATTAAAAGAATTAACAAATATATTTGGTCATCTTCTTCAACAAATCGTTGAATCACCACGTTATACAAGAAGTTCAACACTAGAATACAATATTGTTGTTTGTGGAATACCCAATGTTGGTAAATCCACATTTAGTATGTTTATTAAAAAATAACAAAATTTATATTCGTTATTTTGTTTTAAAGTTAATAAACTTCGTAATTTATTTGCAAATAAACGAAGTTGTGAACAAGTTGGCGCAAATCCTGGTGTAACACGAACAATGAGTGAAAAAGTTAAAATATCACATCGACCAAAAGTATTTGTACGTGATACACCTGGTATACTTGAACCACGTTTAAAATCAGCTAATGAAAGTTTTCGTTTACTTTTAATAAATTCTATACCAATACAACACCGTGAATTATCAGATATAATTGCTGATTATGGTTTATTTTTATTAAATAAATATGATAAACAACGTTCATATATGAAATTTTGTGAACTTGATAGGCCAACTGATGATATATTAACTGTTTTAACTTCAATAGCAAAATTAAAACATTGTACACAAGTATATGGAAATAAACGTGGATATGATTTAACAGGAGCAGCTTTACATTTTATAAATGAAATTAATAAGGGTACATTTGGTAAGTATTCAATCTTTATATTTGTCTTATTGTGGCATATTTGTTTTTGTTTTTTTTTTATTATAGGACAAATAACATTTGATCAAGATATTCTTGATGAAATGGAAAAAGAAAAATCGAATGATACAAACTTGTTTAGGACCAATACTGGTCGAATAAGAAAATCAATTTAATTGATTCTCGTTTTTTTTTTGTTTCGATAAAATACCGTGTGTATTGTTGAGTTTTTATTTTTCAGATAAAATATGTCGAAAAATTGGAATGAAAATATAGAAACATTTGCTAGTAAGATAATTGAACTTTTTTCCTTTTTTTGTTCTTGAATGAATAATATTGTATTTTAGAACATATACAAATTTATAAAACATTAGCTCTTCGATGGCAAATCAATGTAAGTTGAAGAAAAAAAAAACATTTGTGAAATGATATTCTGTGATAGAAAGTTTTTTTGTCAAGACTAGAAATGAACACGAAACTGTTTAGTTTTGACTGAAGAATCAGATATATTTGTGTGGTTTTTGTAGGCGGACAGAACAAACACAAAGTTTGCAACAGAAACTAGCAGAGCTTGGCAAAATACTTGTGCATGAAGCACTCTAAAGGATAAAGTCTTTTTTTTATCACCCCTAAAATATTTCAGGTTTTTGTGTTGAAATCAATTCAATGACACCTCCTGATAACATCGCAACGGTTTATTTCGCTATGTCTCTCGATCAATTGTTCAAACGATATTCGTACTATCTAGACAGATGGCCAAGTTTTTGTTACGTTCGTAGAGGAGTATGGACGTAACAGAAAAATTGATCGAGAGATGCTGCGAAATAAACCTTTGGAATATTATCGGGTGCCACTACTACAGTCTCGAATTCCAATAGTCTCATCTCGAGAAACATATGTTGAGGCAAGAAAACGACCTTATTCACTCGTGTTTTTTTTTCCATAATATGTGTTATGCTAAAGTGCTGTTAGGTATACATTTTTGCCCTTCGAAGATGAAGCAAATATCTGGTTTCGCATATCCTCGATTTTATGTAAAAGTGCACCCTTAAATACTCGATAATTATGCTATAATGGCGTTGAATATATGTTTTGAAGTAAGCCTAGTCACAATTCTTATTTTCAAGTGTGCAATTTTCGCTATAGTCGTGAAAATTTGTATTTGTTCAGCTCTGTAAATAAGTGCCAATGGAGTTGCAATTATGCTCTAACTTAAACCCCAATAATCGTATATATTTTCGGAACAGTCTTATTTCATTGTGAAAAGATTTCTATTTAAATCGTGACAGTTAAATATTTCTTCATTTTTAACCTTCCTCAGCAAATATTTCATTAAATGATCGCGATCAGAAAGTCTCGTGTACATCTCTAGTTTTGCCTAATCAGCAAAAATAGGAAAAAGATGCGATAATAATGTTTCATGTGGTCTCAAAAATTCATTTTCTTTACTAAAATTCTACTTCAGTCACTAATATAAAAATCTCTAGATTCATATGTATTTTTTTGTTTAGCCAAGTTTTCTTCATCGAAATTTAAAATATATTCATATTGCTCGAACATCAATACATTCTAATCGGTAAAAATATTCATCGAACATTTATATTATTTTTTTAAATAATGAATTTTCTAGTATTCCAAATCAAAATATTTCAATAGAAGAAATCTTCAAATCACGTTTAGATGAAAGTATGAATAAGTCATCATCATCATCATCATCATTACGTGGTGATGCTTTTAATTTACATTTACGTGGATGGTCATATGATTCAAGTAAATTAACTATTTTCTTGTATTTAATTTTTAATTGATCTTTTTTTTTTTTTCTCTGACAGGTAGTTTAACAGAACGACGTGGTTGTAAATATAATGTTTCATTTGATTTATCGGCTTCATGTGTTGAAAATGGTTTACTTCATACATCAAGTGTATCTCGAACAATGAAACTAGGTCGAATTGATTCAGTATTACCTAATGGTGTATCATCAATGAATGATAATGATGATGAATCATCAACAATTTCATTTCATGTTTCAACTAAATATACGTATACATTAACATTTTCCTGTACAATTACAGCTGGTCGTGGTATAAGATTGTTTTATTTTCTAATTAAAAAAAAGACCTTTTAGATTCGTTTGTTGTTTAGGTGATGGAAATAAAGTTTCAATGTCTTATGGAAAACGTATACAACTTAATTCATTATTTGATGCTCGACAATCAATGTCGACAAAACAATCACTTGAAATTCAACTTACACCTGTTTTAAATAATGGACAAGAAACAGTAAAACTACTTGTTTTTGCTGTTATTTTCTTCTATCTACTTAGTGCATACTAAAAGAAGTCATTTTGGTAGATAAAATCCCATAGGAAAGAGTTAATCAAGTTTTTTTTTCCAACAAGTATTTTATCTAGTAGCCATACTCAACAGAACATCTTAATGAATATATATAGTTGAACGTTGTCATAATGATTTTCGTTGTCTTGAGCGCTAGCCGATGATGTGTAGTTTCTCATTCCATTAATAAGTAGTTTTAGAGAACTATTGACACAGCGATTAAATTACTGTGTCAAACTGTAGCTGATGGAAATCGTTCGATTACATTTCTTCTAGTTTAAAGAATTGGAACTGATTTCTATGTGGCATATCCAGAGTTTGTTACTTACTCTCACTTCAAGTATTCACTACATTTCTCTAGTTCGCCATGCTCGACAAAATTTGATTCATCGAAATAGTTGTTGAATGTTGTAGTCAAGATGATGAATTTTTTAATTAAAAATACTTTCAACATATGTCTACACTTAAGTTGATTATATGCAATTCGGCACAACTACTAACTCAAACAAAAACTTGATTCATTTTTTCTTATGAGATTTTATCTGCCAAAATCACTACTTTTGGTATACCCTAACTAGGAAACCTTTTCAGCTACATCCTTCCGATTTCAATGAACTTTTCCCTATAGGTACTAATTAGGGTAACACGAATGGTGCTCCCCGGACACTTGCTCCCCAGGGACATTTGTTCCCCGAATAGTTTAGGGTGTAGGCGCAAGTCTGAGTGAGGGTGAGGGCTTAGATGTGGATGGGGATGTAGGTGTTGGAGAGGGCAAGACAAAGAGTGAGTTTCGATTTTGATTTGAGTTTAATCTGGGCCTCGAGAGCAAATGTCGCTGGGGAGCAACTGTCGCGGGAGCATCTGTCCGGGGAGCACCTTTCATGGAACCACTAAATAGTGTTCCAATAAAAACACTACACAGACTTTGGTTCTTCTTGATATTTGATTAATCTATCGAATTTTTAATATGTCTATTTTTTAGAGACCTCGGGCTTTTGGATAACTCGTATTTTCGAATTTTAATCTGAATATTTTTGCATATAGAGAACTTGACTAGATTAGTTTCCAAAAAAAAAGTTCCAAAGTTTTGAACAAAGTCTCTTCAAGATATACACCCTTTTCCATTAATAATGTATATAGCATCCATCTTTTAAAAGTCTCATGTCGCGAAGAGGCTTTATGAGAAACTTATGAATTTTTTTATCGAAGTTATTCTAGTTGATTTCCTTATATGCTTAAAATTTCAGAGCAAACTTTGAAAAGTCTTGGTGCCAGAAAATAAATGTACTAAAAATTCCACAGCTTATTCAAAACTCAAATCATTTTAGGGTTTTTATTAGAACACTGTACAGTATCTATAGTCAAAAACTAATTGAAATCAGAAGGAGGCAACTGAAGAGATTTCTTTGTAAGTAAAAATTATTTTTTCAAATTTTTTAATTGATTTTAGTCAAAAACAATGTCATTTCAATTTCCAACAACATTCACAATATTTTTTGATCTTACAAGAGAAGCAGTTGAAATGTTAAGAAGCGGTGGTGCATCAACAAGAAAACGACAACCAATATCTCCAAGTAAAATTCCAGCATCACATCAACAAGAACAACAATATCAGGATCTTAATGCTAAACGAATGAAAACAACACAAAAATCAAGTATGTATTAATCTTTTTTTTTCTCATTAGCAAAACTTATTATTAAACTTTTCTCTTGTGTTTCTAGATAGAAATTCAAACAATACTAATAATTTACCATTATGGCGTGATATTCAATCTAATCATGATCATAATTCATCAACACATTTACCACTTTTCTATACTTTCTTAACGGAAAATAAGCAATGTTTAGCCACGAGTTATATGTCATCAAAAGGTCACTGTTGTCTTTGTCAATTTACAGCTATTAATAATGATTTAGAAGTATTAATCAAACATTTATCGTATTGTCATCCACGTTTTACAGCTTCATTAAAGGTAAAATTTGAAGAATTAGTTATTTAAAATTCAAAACGAACTCCAGATATGTGAACACTTCAGAAAAAAAAATTTGTTTAATACTTTAAATATATTTTTCTCGAATTTCAATGGTAAGATAAGGTGTCGGTAATTCGAAATTTGAGCAAAAGTTTTTTTTCCTAATTTTTTTCGTTACAAGAATATTATTCGAATATGTAAAAAAAACAGCACTTTTGCAGGTAACTCGACGAGCTCTATCCAAGTCCGTGAAGAAGAAATATGCTTGAATTTCAAATTATTGATCCTTTGTCTAAAATTAAAGCTAATTTGTTTCGAAATCTACAAATACCTCAATCAAAAATGTCAGTACATTTTCAATTTCATAATGATGTACAAATTGCAAAATATCTTTTTTGTATTGTGTATAGGCGGCAGAATGAACGTTTTGAATTTAGGATAGGTTCAACAATCTGTATACGGTCTGCCCCGGGAAATTAAGAACAGAAAAAAGGAGAAGGGCGACTCTTTTTATGAAATACAGATAAAAGACAATTAGTGTCTTTTAGTTTCGACTCACATTTTGCATTATATTTAGCTGATATGGTTCAGAAAAAGTACAAAAATTTCCGATCTACTTTACTGAAAAACAGAATAATAATGAAGCAGTAATGTTCACGCAAAAAAAGGCTTACAGTATAGATTTCCTCACTTTGTTGAAAATATATCCTAGGGGTTATAGGTTAAGCACTAAAATGGACATCACAATTAAAAACATTAATACAAACTAGGTTTCTGCACGGATTCGGTTCTGAGTCAACCAAAGTTTTTTGTCGAAAATTCAATTTTATCATATGAACTTTTTTGAATAGTAGAGTGTTTGTTCTTTGATATCTGCTGTACAAACTAATGCGTTTTTGAGGTTCCAACAATGTCTTATAGAAAGATTCGGGCACGAAACTAAGTCGGTGTCAAATTAGTTTGTACAGTAAATATTAGAGAACAAAATCTGCTGCTAAAAACGTGTATATGTTAAAACTGCATTTATAGCAAAAAATTTAGTTGACTTCGAAGTTAATTACGTGCATGGCTCTAATACCAAGAGTTGAATCTTATCAACTTAAACACTGATTTACATATTTATTCAATATTACAGCATTTTTCATACAAATGTAATTTCTATTTTAGAAAAACATCGATCGACCTAATATTGAATTGCGTATTAATGCATTCTATGATGGGTCACTTGATACATTCGATGTATTTTCGGAATATTATCCACGTAAAAAACGTATTACTAGTGAATTGATTCTTTGGCGGTAAGAACTAAAACAAGCAAAAAAAAATTTTTTTGATTTTCACGAAAAATGTTTTTCTAGACCACCACGTTATCGCCGATTGGCAATGGATGATGCACCATTTGTTTGTCGTCGAGCAGCATTAACTCGAGTTTATCGTCATACAACAGGTGCACAACCCATTGAACCAGAACATATGCAAGTAGATAGTGATGATGAAATATATCCTGAATGGACACAGCAATTATCACGTCGTATGATGGAAGATTTTCAAGACGTGAATGAAGGTGAAAAAGAAATGATGATTATGTGGAATCATCACGTTATGAAACATAAGTAAATATTTTTTTTTTATTAGAAAAAAAAACGATCTAATTTTGTGATTGATTTTGTCTTTTTTTTTTCAGTTTTATTGCTGATAGTCAAATGCCATTTGCTTGCGAAGTATTTGTTGAAAGACATGCAAAAGATTTAAGAGAAAAAAATCTTATTAAAAATTTTTATTTACATTTGGCTACACTTCAGTTATATAATTTAATTAAAAAAACAGATCTGGCAAAATGTATTATTCGTTTAAAAGCTATTTTGGCATCGTCACCATCTGTATCAAATTCACCATGATCTTATATTTGATATATAAATATACATAGATATCTTATTCTATTTCTTGTATCTACTTTTTTTTTGTTTTGTCAAGAAGAGATAAAAAAAAATATATGATGTTAAATATTTTGATAGAGTGATATAGATGAAAATAAGTTTTATGAACGAAAAAACATTATTATAGAATAAGTTGATAGTTGTTAAAATGTTAACATTGACCATGAAAATTTCATAATAAATATTCAGATTTTTTTGAAGATCTTTTTATTTATATCAATAAAAGATATCAAAGTGAATTATTATTAATATTGAGACATGTTTTATTGTGAAAATATTTTATCTATTGATTATAAACTACTTGTTGATATGCTAATTGTGGAGTACTGGCCAAAAATATAAGAATAACTTATATTTTTTTTTGGTTTGATTTTCTTCGATACTGAGCATTTACCTATGCTCAGCATTGCAGAAAAAAAATCAATATGTTGTTCTTATAATTTTGACCAGTCCTATATATTGATTGGCAAAACGTAGGATTACACTTTTTTAATATGGGATAAATAGTAGAAGATGAAAAACGATGATCGAATGTAGAAGTAAATTTTTGAGTTGATCTGAATGAAAGATATTTATTGATGAAATGATATGCAGAAAAATAATAAAAATGGTATGATATACAAGTAGTTTGAAAAGTTCTTCAATTACATGAGATAATTGATCGAATACTGCACAGTGGGCAATTTCTAGAGGGCATGTGGACATGGCTTATTTCATGTTAAAATCGTATTTTTTTCACAGAAATACTAGTTTCTACCCTTCAGAAAACAATCATTGATGAAAGAAACGTGAAATCCAGAAAATCATTTTTTTATAAAAAATCCCTGAGGGAGACCCTCGCCCTAATTTTTTGTCAAAAAACTTTTTATTTGAGAAGCTAATAAATCATACATCATTCGATGCAGTTTTGTGCGCTGATTCTAAATATGATATTTGTATTGAATAAGAACGTCTCTAAAACCAAAAAAAAATTGAAAATACCTGAAACAACTATGGTTTTTTCGAAAACCTGCTGTAGGGTCCACGAATATNGCAGTTTTGTGCGCTGATCCTAAATATGATATTTGTATTGAATAAGAACGTCTCTAAAACCAAAAAAAAATTGAAAATACCTGAAACAACTATGGTTTTTTCGAAAACCTGCTGTAGGGTCCACGAATATTTATGCTAATTTATGCTACCTGGGGCGATAGAGGACATATGGGAGAACATTCTGGCAAAGTTTGAATAAGTTTCTAATTGGGCGCTGGAGGGCGCGCTCATTTTACTAATATAGCCGTTTAGAAAAGCACTGTGGAAAAAAAGAAAATTTTTTTCTAAGGAATCTTCAGTAGTAATTGACCACTTTTTTTATTATAAATCGGTAGCAAACATTATGCAAATTTATAATATGTATTGTTTTTGGCTGTCACTTCAACGGATTTTGTAAAAAAAAATTTGTGTTGTATAGATAGCGTTATTTGCAGGCTGATTTTTAATTATTTTCAATTAGCTCATTTTCCACTCTACTTGAACTTTGTAGTAAAACTTTTAACGCCATTAAGTAGTCTATAGTCCGAAGTATATCTAGCACTAATTGAATCTTGCAAAAGTGCACTTTCGATTTTTCACCTAATGTCCATTTGGTTGTCCACTGTGTACTGTTCATTGGTAATGTAACGAGGAGTGTAACTACTAAATAAATACGTTTATTATTTTTATTCTAATCATTAACTAATCATTTGCAAGATAAAATAAGATTTTAGTAAAACCGTTCATATTGATGTTGAATCAAGACTCTTAATAATTATTTTTTGAAAATGGCAAAATTTCAACTTGTTCTGAATGACATGAATATTTATAAAACAGAAATTTTTCCAGTTATTATAGCTTGAAATATATTAAGTTAAAAATATATAAGAAATTAACTAATAAAATAAAAGAGCCATCAAGATTAAATAATGTTAATGATAATTCAATGAATTAATATTTATAATTTTTCTCTTTTATCCTTTTTGATTCTGAAACACAAGATTGAATTACTTAATTTGAAAAATGAAATATTTCTAGAAGACAATAAACATGTGAAATTATTTATTTATACGATAGAAAACAAACAAAAGACAAAAAATTGTTTTATAAACGATCTGAATATATATGATGAGCATAATTCGTTAAATATTGTTCATCATTCTGTTCATGTGATGAATCATCATGTTCAATTAAATTATTTGTTTGATAATAATAAGTTGAATTCATTGTTGGTGGATAATATAAAATATGTTGCTGTTGTTCTTGTTCTTGTTCAATATTATTCATTTTAGAATTATTATCACGTTTAACAGGTAAACGTGCAGGTGCACCACGAGCTTTATATAATTCTTGAAAAAGATCATCAAGAAAATGTTTTGGTAAATGTCGTCGATATTCACCATATTCACATTCAATATCAGTTTTAGTTTGTTTAGCTTGACCTTTATTAATTAATTGTACTTTTCGACGTTTATTTTGAAACCATATACGTATTTGATCACGTGAGACACCAATATATTTCGCAATAAGTGTTTTTTGTAAACTATTTGGATATTTATGTTTTTTAAATATTTCATTAAGCATAACAAGTTGATGACGTGTATAATTAGCACGATTTTGTGGTAACATCATTGTTGTTGATGATGGAGTAATAAAATCATCAGATGAATAAATATGAGATGAAGGAAGAATAGGAGCCGATGAATATTGTGATGATGAAGAATAAAAAGACATTTCGGATGATGATGCTATTGGTTCAGAATTGGATGGATAAAATGTTTCAATTGAACAATAATTTTCAATAGGTTGAAGAGCAGATGGTACAGATGATGTTTGATAATTCATTGTTGTCGATGGACAAAGTAAAGATGATGATGATGACCAACTTGATAGATTATTATTGTAATAAGAAGGATGATAATGAGATGTATTATTGAAACAATTTGTATCTAATTGTAATGGTGAAAGATTCATATTTAAAGATAATAATGTTGAAGTTCTTATAGACAAACAATTGATCTTATTGCTTGTATAATGAGAAATAAAATTATAATTCAGTCTATTTATATATCAACTTTTTCTCTCTCCGAAAAAAAAAAAATTAGTAAAATTTTTTTTTCTTGCACTGCGGGAAGGCGATTGTTGTTCGGTAAGCAATTTAATGCGCACACTAATCAACTTGATCACTGATGATGTTTCCTTCTATTCGAATATTATATATCAAGGTGAGAATAAGCCAAATTAGATGTCAATATTGTCATGTAAAAGATTATGCAATGAGTTTTAATATATACATATATATATATATATGTGATCATTTTGTGTACTGATGGGAGAAGTACGTAATCAAATTAGCAGAAAAGAAAAGGTAAGCCTAGAGGCGAAAATAGGATGATCTCATATTTTGAGAGATACTTTTAGTATAGAATGAAGAATGAGAATTCTTTTTTTTTTCATGCTTTAAAATATCTTTATATGGGTGTATTAGTTAATTGTAGACAATTTTGCTCATGTGTGGACGTATGAATTAATGCTAATATTTATTTTCATGATACAATTTTAAAAATTTGATTAATACGAATAATGTCTTTATGTTATTTTCATTGTAAAAGACTAAAAAGATTATTAACACATGTTAACATGATATTAATGCAATAATTGACTGAAAATTTTTCGCTCCTAGACATTCTTGTTTTCTAGAAATATCAAAAGTAGCGTAAGGACGTAAATAGGATCTTATGGGTAGTAAGATAGTGATTCACGATCTTGGAAGTATAATCAATGACATAGTGTCAATGATAGTAATTATTACCTTTTTTCTATTTTCTAATAGTAAGGCACTGCTCGGCATGGCTTACTCTTGGCCAGATCACTAAGATAAGGTAACAAATTAACCCAATTGTGTAAATGTTGTATTTTTAGGAAAATATTCATAGATAAGTTTTAATTATATCTAACGGGTGGCCCAGATTAAATGGAACTCTCAGTATTTTGACTATAACTTTTTTTCTTTTTGCTCTTTAGAGCTAATTGTTTTTCCAAAAGATGCGCCGTCAAATTCTCTGTAAAGTCATAATCAAACTTATTTGTGTAGAAAGTTAAGGAAAAACGTTAAACGAAGATTATCCGACACATTAAAAGTACCCAACTTTCAAAGTTAACCGGTGTTTGTATCTCTTTTTTTTATCGTTAAGTACGTCTATTTGAAAAGCAAAGTATACCATAAGACGCAGCGTGAAAAGTTCTATAAGTTACATTAAAAACCTTATTTTATACATGCACTCTTTGTTTTCAAAATGGACGAAATTCTGTGCGACCAATTTTCAACGCTACGAACAAGATCAGTTTTTGGTACACTACGAATTCATTTTTTCTTATTTCATCTTTTCATCGCCTAATATGTTGTATTAAAAGAAAAGAAAATATACTACAAGATGCAGCGTGAAAAGCTCTACAATCTACAAAGAACAGTTTATTTTATATATATGCATCTTTTGTTTTTATAATAAGCAAAGCTCTGTGCGACCAAAAATGATCTTGTTCGCAGCGTCGAAAATTGGTCGCATAGAATTTTGTCCATTTTGAAAACAAAGAGTGCTTGCATAAAATAAGGTTTTTAATGTAACTTGTAGAGCTTTTCACGTTGCATCGTATGGTATACTTTACTTCTAAAATAATGTGCTTGGCGATAGAAAAAAGAGATACAAACATCGGACACTTATGAGACATCCGTCAGCTTTGAAAGTTGGGTACTTTTAATGTGTCGGATAATCTTCGTTTAATTTTTTTCCTTAACTTTCTACACAAATAAGTTTGATTATGATTTTACAGAGAATTTGACGGCGCATCTTTTGGAAAAACAATTAGCTCTAAAGACCAAAAAGAAAAAAAGTTATAGTCAAAATACTGAGAGGTCCATTTAATCTGGGCCACCCGTTAGATACAATATTCAAGAGAGATTATAGATATATGGTATTCAAAATTGCGAGTGCGAGTTTTAGAAACATTGATAATATTAATTTTAAAAGAAAACATGTATAACATATGTTTATCATAGAATGATTCTTGATTGAATGACGTAATGCTTTAGTGCAAGACTCGTTCATTATATTTAATTGATTTATTTACTGAACATGTATTGAATGACTAACGGAAAAACTAGATATAACATATCAAGACAGATATTTTAACATATACTTAAATGATATTAGACATTGTTTTATTCAAGTTCTTTTATTTGCTTTAATTGATATCATGACTTTATATGATTCTTCTTTAAACCATACACGTTTGTTCACTATATTAATTAACATGCTTTATTGAAGAGACGGTGTGATATATCTAAAATACCGCATTCGGTTGTCTAAGTAAATGTGCGACCCCTCTCGTTGAAAGATTTTCTTTTTTTCATCAATGACACAGTCATGCATTGTGACGTTGACTGCAGCCATTACAGTTTCCCGTTTGATTGTTGCAACGTTGCGTTGGCCTAGAATCGGTATTTATTGGATTGGAGAGTATTCGTATGTGCGTATATACGTGGGATAAAAAAGCGATTGGTGACGATTTATAGCCGTTTCCCACCATTATTTGCATTTCATTTTAATTTTTTATAAGAAAAATAACTACAACCGATAAACAATATTGTCCAAATGGGTATCAAATTTCTTGAATTTGTCAAACCATTCTGTCAACTTATACCGGAAATTCAAAAACCTGATCGTAAAATTCAATTTCGTGAAAAAGTTTTATGGACAGCTATAACATTATTTATCTTTTTGGTTTGTTGTCAAATTCCATTATTTGGTATAATGTCATCAGATTCAGCTGATCCATTTTATTGGTAAGTTATACAAAAAAAGAAAATAATGAGCAGATACTTTATTTTTCTCATCAATCTTTATACATAGGATTCGAGTTATTCTTGCATCAAATCGTGGTACTTTAATGGAATTAGGTATATCACCTATTGTTACATCCGGTCTTATCATGCAATTATTAGCCGGTGCAAAAATAATTGAAGTCGGTGATACACCAAAAGATCGTGCTCTATTTAATGGTGCACAAAAACTTTTTGGTATGATTATTACAATTGGACAAGCTATTGTTTATGTTATGACTGGCATGTAAGTTCATACTAAATTACGTAAATGAATTATTTGTATTTTTTTGTAAAAAAGGTATGGTAATCCATCAGACATTGGTGCCGGTGTTTGTCTTTTAATCATAATTCAATTATTTGTTGCCGGTCTTATTGTCTTATTACTTGATGAATTACTTCAAAAAGGTTATGGTCTTGGTTCTGGTATATCATTATTTATTGCAACAAATATATGTGAAACAATTGTATGGAAAGCATTCAGTCCAGCTACAATAAATACTGGACGTGGTACTGAATTTGAAGGTGGTATTATTGCATTATTTCATTTATTGGCTACACGACATGATAAAGTTCGTGCATTACGTGAAGCATTTTACCGTCAAAATTTACCAAATTTAATGAATTTACTCGCTACTGTATTTGTCTTTGCTGTAGTTATTTACTTTCAAGTATGAAACAAAAAATCTAAAGCCTTTGTTTCTTTTGAATGATAGTAATTTTTGAATTTTCATAGGGTTTTCGTGTTGATCTACCAATAAAATCAGCTCGTTATCGTGGTCAAACATCATCATATCCAATAAAGTTATTTTACACATCAAACATTCCGATTATACTTCAATCGGCACTTGTTTCAAATTTATATGTTATATCACAAATGTTATCAACAAAATTTTCGGGAAATTTTATTATTAGTTTATTAGGTGTTTGGGCTGATAATGGACCACAACGCTCATATCCTATTGGTGGTTTATGTTATTATTTATCACCACCAGAATCATTACCAGCTATGTTAGTTGATCCTGTACATGCAATACTTTACATAGCTTTTATGCTTGGTTCATGTGCATTCTTTTCAAAAACATGGATTGAAATATCTGGTTCAAGTGCAAAAGATGTTGCTAAACAATTAAAAGAACAACAAATGTAAGTTGTATGTAAAACTAAAATCTCTATTATTTACTAAATATTTCTTAGGGTAATGCATGGTCATCGTGAAAAATCAATGATTCACGAACTTAATCGATATATTCCAACAGCAGCTGCTTTTGGTGGCTTATGTATTGGTGCATTATCGGTATTAGCTGATTTACTTGGTGCCATTGGTTCTGGTACTGGTATATTATTAGCCGTAACTATTATTTATCAATACTTTGAAATATTTGTTAAAGAACAGAATGAATTAGGTGGTATGGGTACACTTTTATTTTAAGATTAAATTTTTTTCTTACATCTTCAAATTCTTTGACTGTCATATTCGTTCTGTTTTTTTTTTCGTTTTCTTTTTTCTTCTTAAACTGACCGCTTATATTTATATGCCATTGTGTGTTGACTTGTTGTTCTGCAACAAGTACGATAGAGATTATCTTTGCGTTTTGAGAACTATGAAATGTGAAAGAAAAAAAAACCATTTAGATTTATTCTAGATGATAGGTATAAATGCGTATATTTATGCATATTTATAGTTTTTTTTGTTGGTGAGAATTTCTTCTTTTTTTTCTTTCCATTTGAATGTTTTGTTTCTGTCTCTTTCGTGTTCCTTATTATTGTTATATCATTGTTGTTTTTACTTTAAAACAAAACTGTTTGTGATGATATAATGATTAAAACAGAAAAAAAACAACGAAATATCACAAACACAAGAGAATTGCTCGAAAATTAATATGGTTGATAAGATGTTTATTCAGAAAACATTGTTTAACATAAATCATTTGAAAGTATTGTGTAAAATTCTGACTAAGAATATGAGAACACAAAAACTGTTGCTTTTGATTTTAGAAAAAATAAAACATAATATCATTCTCAATAGAAATTAACATCAATATATTTTTTGCGTAGTTGATTAATAATAAATGTTTTCTTTTTTCCTCTTTTC